GAAATGAAATATTTTGCTAATGTTTTTCTTTTTCTAGTCTACCTTAAGTAAAGGGTTAGGTATATATGATATGTTATTATAAACTAATGGTAAAATACAAAATATACTTTTAATAGTTACTACATATTTTATCGCATCAAGTATCAACTGCTAAACAATGAACAACTTTTTTCGTGGCCATACTGATTTAAGTCCTTCCGTTTACTTCACTATCGCTTACAAGCTATATATAGTTTAATATGTTAGTTCATCTCCATATATATATATATATAATATTGTTATATTGGCGTTCGTCCGCAGGGCAGACGTCCAGCAGATCGTTTACGATTTAAAATTTAAAAAAATATATATAATTTATTGTTTCCCATAAAACTGACGATGTCTGTCAGAATATTATATATTGTATTATTGTAGTCTTCTTTTATGGTGTCGCACAACATATTATTACACGTTTACCATAATATACTGTTGTACCTACACAATACAATATACCTTTTGTAGTAAATGACATGTTATAAGGTTCATATCCGTCGCAACGGTTTGCCAGACCGCATATAATACAATGTTTTCCGAAATTCACCGCAAAATTGTATCGTTTAACGTTGGCGCGACCATATTTTGTGCTATTGTAATAGCCCAAAGGCGTAGGTAATATATATGTATACATATATATATAGGTAGTGTGTAATCGAAATGACTTCACTGGTCGACTTCCAAGTATAATTATTCTAGTGTACATACCTCTATACATTGTATCTAATAACTTTTTATATATATCGAGGCTCGAGCTGTGCGAAGGACAACCACAAAGTCTGAGAACAATAAAAAACAATAATGTTACAATTAACCATTCAGAAAATAGTTTTTTTTGCGTTTAAAACATGCCGATACATCTTGAAAAGTATTATAACATACATATTATATCTGTAGTCTTCACTTGAGCTCTGAAAAACAATAGGCTTTAAAGTTTTTATTACTTCTTGTTCTTTTTTTTACGAATATCTTTATAATAATATTTAAATTATTGTCGTGAGATAACCATTTTCTTTTTGTACATATTTTAAAGGTTTTCACTTTATTTGAATGTTCATTAGTCTAACACACTTTTGCCAAAACATAAGTAAGTTTTCATGATTTTGTAGATTGTTGTATAATATTTTCAAAAATAATAAAGTTGCATGCTAAGTATGAACATTGTCGAAAGTAATTTTTTGTGTGGTATTTCCATATTTTTTTTCGACCAACTCAAATTTTGGGTATTTAGTTGCTTCTAAAATGGTGTCGTTGTTTTTTCATTAATGATAATAATTAACAAACATATATATATATATAACGGCCAATAATTAAAAAACAACAACTAATATATTTTTAAATTTTATTATAAAAAATATTAACTAACATTAACTGCCATTGATATTATTTTGCCTAGTCAAACGAATCTTTTGGCGATAAGTACCTGCCTATAGTATTTTACAAAGATGACTTAAACCAAAAAACAAATCCGCTAACGCTATTAATAGGCTCCCCCGAGAATCCTATATTTTTATACTTTATTGCCTTTTTTAGACTTGTAAATGTTTTGATTGTGTAGATATATAGTACATAATATATATATTATAAAACCAGGAGGGAGTGTTTAAAAAACAACACTGTTGTTTTGACATTGGAATCCGTATCCGTTTGTTCGACGGCCTCATAAACATTGTAAAATTGTATTTTTTTTTCTTTCTCGGTGAGCGCAAGGCGTGGAATTACACATTATACGGGCAAAGAACAACCTCGGGGGATTCTGTAATAAAATTAAAACAATTCCATTGGTCCAGACGTGTAACAATAATTAATAATAATTGATTCATTCATCGCGGTTTGTCTTCGGGGTAAAAAAATAACTCCAAAGTAGGTAAACACAAATATTGTTAAAAGTTTTGGTTATTATTCTGTTTTAGTTTTGTGTGTGTGTGTGTTATTGCACCATATTCGTATCCGACATAAATCATACAGTTAATTATTGGCAAACACAAAATATTATATAGATAGGTAGGTACTGTGTATATAGGTATATGCGTTGTGCAATGGTTGAATGCAAAATAATACATTTTTTTTTTTATCTGACAATCGACACGAAATAGGAAAAGTGCAAAACAAATATTGACATATTATTTTGTTGTTATCGGTATACATACTGACATACCCAATACAAGGTATGTAGGTAATAATTATAATAATAATTACTCAACATTACTGTGTAATGCCTGTACAGCCGCAAGCCCAGTCTATCATTTCATTGTCATCGAAATTAGACCACATACATATGATTTAGGTATAGACATAGTGTTATCGAAAAAAATGCATTAAATATCTATAGCTATATTGTATTATACACCCGAGTAGGAAAAAAGTACATAATATACATATAATGTTATTATACTAACTCATAATATTGTTTTAGCTTTGACGAGGAGCTATTTTTTTTATGGACAGGTAAACGCCATAGCGTGCCAAGTTTTTATGGGCGGCCAGATTATTGTTTTTACAGTGCAAGTAAATAAATTAAATAAATCATATACCTATTATTAAATTTCCATTTGTATTCTATTTAGCTTTCGTCGCAGAGCTGTAATGAGGAATTGTTTTTACAATTATTGTGTGTTTTTATTTATTTATTTGTTGTGCCTATACCTACCCACGATATCTTTTAAACTGCTCAATCACAAAGATCAGGAATCGTACCTGAAAAATACTTTATTGGAACATACATTTAAAAAGTTTACCATAATCGTTTGAGAAATGTTAATATTATTTTTACTTGAAAATGTCAATATTTTTTTATGGGAGTAACCTAATTAAGTAATTACTAACATACCTAAACCTAACTATTTAATTTTTAGATTATCTGAATAACTACCTGATTAATTTTAACCAGAATTTTAACTTGAAAAAAATGCATTTTATACTTAACCCAAAGATAAATTTGAAAAATGATAAACAAAAATCAAAAAAACAACTTTTTTTCAAATGTATTCGAATAACTTGTTTTTCCGTTTGCTTTTATCCTAATTAAATTGTTCAAACATTGAATTTCAGAATAAATTAAAAATGTTTTTTTTTATTTTAGCTTTATGCGTCGTTGTGAAACATTTCGTCGAACAAAACTAACAATAAGTAGTACAATTCGTTAACTTGTTTATAGCTTTGAAAATGAAATGGGTATGCTTTTGCCTTCTCTCGTAAATTTAGATCTATTTACCCTTATTTTTTACAAAAAGATTACCCATAGTCGGCTATTACCCTTTGTGTAGGTGTTTTGATTTTGATATTATTTTAGTGGTTTTATTTTATTTGTCAGCGTTCAATAAAGAATTTCAAGGCGTTTGTAACTTGGAACCGAAACCATTCGGAGCCAATTATATATAATTGCTTCGCCGATATGAAGTTTGTAATGCGATTATTTGGCAGAGTTGTGTCTGACCTGTTGCCTACCGCGGTTTTAGGTCTGGCCTGAAGGAATATGAATTAAAAAATATTATTATTATATTATATTATATGTAGATTGTTATTTTCTATGGCGCGAGTAGGAGTGGCGTCTTGACAGATTTCACGACATGTCGACCGGGTTGGTTGGAGAAATAGGGAGGGGTAAAGGGGTCGAATTTTTGACTTCTAAGGTGAATTTTTCGAAACGTTGACCTCACGCTGCGGCCGAATTAACGACCCGGCTGTTTAGCATTTATTGTTGTTGTTATTATCATTATATACACATCGGCTATAATATGTGGCCACGGTATAAATTACAAGCTAACACGCTATAAAGTCATTATAATAATATTTGAACGTCCGGAGGCTAAAAATGTATACGATATTATAATCCCGGGTTATAAATTTAAATTATTTATCTTAAATTATTTTCACGAAAACTAGTTTTATTAAAATATATTTTATTGTTTTGCCCGACGGTAGTGCCTGCGATGTCTTGGGTTGGCATCTAGTACGGCCCAAAGACGGTTTCCATAATAATATATATTGGCTAATTAATCACCGGCCAACTGACAACTTTCGCGGCCAAAGATAATTATTTCAAAGCAAATTACCTATACTCGAGAAGTGAGAACGAGTCGACAAATGTAGCCTGTAGGTGTATACATGCCAGGTCGGCGATGAGTTTGTCAAATCTTCTCCATTATCGTCTTGGCTTCTCTCTTGCGCATCTCCAAGCCTCGAATGTGGGAATATCTAACACCCGATACGGTATGGCAGGTTATCGACTGGAGTCCAAATCTCATATTAAAATATATTAATTTATTTGAATTGGACAATTATTATAGTATTAGATTCGAGCAACGGGTGTAGCCATCCGAGAAAAATGGCTTAAGGCACAAACCGGTCAAAAAACAAATAAGTTCATTCATTTTCACCTTCACAGCTGACCCATTACAGTACTTACCATGTTTAAATTTTAATCCCGGTTCTTGTAAAAAACAAAAACCACTCGAAAAGCATATTATTCTGTGGATTTTCTATATTTATTTTCTTCTTAGCCTAATTTATATAACTGTTCTTTCCCATAACTCTAGAAATTTATACTCTGTTTTAATTAAATATGTAAAAAAAAAATAAAAAAACAGATTGTTGTTTTATAAAACGAGTGTGAACTGAAGTAAGACCTTTTTAATTTGGAGGTCTCAGCCATGCTTAATTGTTGTATTTTCTTTATTTTTATTCTCTCTAATACTGACCTGACTTTAAATTTTACTATCCCTCGTGATTCTGGTACTATGTATTTTAAAGAAATTCACTTCCCGTGAATAATTGTTCATTTGAGTTCCTTAAAGATGTTCGTTCTCACTAAATTGACCTTGCCAAGGCTTCTGTAATTCTCCCTGATTTTCTTACATAACTTATTTTAATATTAATCAATATTCTCCAGCCAATAATAAATATTTTATGATAAAAAAAAAATTGCGTTGAGGAATTGTTTTTATATTATATTAAAATGAGATACATTAATAGTAAACATTATAGGTAGGTAGTCTTTAAACATAAAATATTCAATAAAAGTTGCAAATTTAATAACAAAAAAAAAAAAAAATTGACTAAAACGAAAATTTAAATAATTCAATTAACAAAAATGTGAAATTCATTAATGTACAATATCGTTTTTATAAACAAAGTTATTTATTGTTTAATGTTTGGTTTGCTGTGAGCCGATCCATCACTCGTTTTCCATTTTTTAATGATGTTATCTAATACGATCTTGAGTAAATCTGGGGGAAAAAACAAATTGATATTATCATAGTCGTTATGGAATTTGTATTTATTAAAATTGTAACTGAATACTTACTGAATAAGAGGAAAACACCACCGAAGGATGCAGCAATTTCTATGATAAAATGAAAAAAGGTAACTTGGTCTTGCACGATAACAAATTTCAGTGCGTTTATGTCATACTTGAAAAATATTCCAGACATGCCGCGATCATCTAAAATAAAACAAACAAAAATTAAGTAGTTGACTTTGTACATATGTATATTAAAAAATAAATATATATGAGTTTTCCTTATCGCACTCAAAATAGATTCGATATTTTTATTATAGTTTATTATCCAATACGCTAAATGATTTTGATTTGATTGTCTTAAGTGTATTTTAAAAAAGATTTCAGGTTTTTATAAAGTAAGTGATTACTAGTGCTATATATCATATTGTGACAACTTATAATTGGTTGCTGTCGCTTGTAGTTAACATGACTAACTAGACCAACAATTATTATAGATCACAATTAAAAAATTTTACAGGAGAGTTGTTTGTACATTTTTCTTGTTTTTAAATTACTATACAAATAACGGATGTTAAATTAAATATTTATATTAGATATTAATTGGACTTATTATAAATGGATATCGATAATATTTATAGTCATAGACAATGAACATACAACACATTTTTTTTTTACATTTTTTTATTCTTTGAGTAATAAAATTTACTGTAAATACTATAAAATAGTTTTCGTTTTATGTAATATTATTAAGAAATCAGAGTTTAAAAACTTTTAAAATACAAAAAAATACTTTTTTTTTTACAATTTTAAGACGTTTATAACATTATACGATTATAAAATTATGACCATTATAGCAATCCTATAAAAAAAACTGTATCTAGAAAAAAAAGTAGAATTTTGGAGTACAGATTTTCCTTAATAATAACATATTAAATGATAGGCAATATATGACAAAAATTGAACTAGTAGACATTTTAAATATGCCGACTAATTTTTAAGTGAAAAAATATTAAGTTTTTCTAGTTAAAAATTCTTTAAGTTATTATTCTTTGGGTAATGCGAAAGTTTGGTAAAAAATGACTTAAGTTAACTGCCGTATCTGTGGATGGAATTTAACTTTTTTTTTTTTTTAATGTGAAGCTTACTATTTTCTCTATGGGGGCTAAAGGCAGATTTTTGATTTAGCTGTTAGAAAATTAGTTAGATTTATTAGAAAAAACTATAAAAAAGTAAAATTATAAATGCTTATAATACAATTTTGAAAACAAAAATAAAAAATTGGGCTTTTAGCCCTCATAGAGAACTTGTGACTTTATAACAAAAAAATGTTATTTGAAATCGGTTCGGTAGACACTTCAGGTAGGGACTTCACGTTTCAGTCTTTATTTATATAAAATATTGCGCTTTCCGTTTCCCTCAACAACATTATGTAAGTTATCCGTTTCAATAATAATTTAAATAAATTATTTATTAACAGCTCTTATTTAATAAAAAAAAGACTTGGATAACTTTATGTCTTGTTATAAAGTAATGTTTTACAAATGTAAGTCACTTAATTTTAGTTACCGATATTTGTATTGATTTTTTTTTATCTGATTAATTTTTTGTCAATTGCGTCAGAAAACAATAATTATTGACATACATCAAATTGTCTAAATGTTTGCGTTGGGAAGAAAATTACTTTTTGAAAACAAAAATGTCATATGCAAACTTGCTCAGGCTGCCATTGTAATAGGCATACAACGTTTAAAGAAATATGTTTTTACACTAGTTTGGTTAAATTTATTTTTAGTAAAACACTAACCATCTTTGCCATAAATTCGTTTTAAATCTTTTGCAGAATACTGAAAGGTTTTTATATCTTTCGACCGTCCTTTGATGTCCGTGGCTACCACATCGATGAAATAATGATAGGCAACTGATTCTAAAATTGTGTTTTAATCAAATTAAAAATAATTACATACAATTGTATAGTTCAAAAAAAAGTTTGTACTACCGTCATGGGTTATTTGAATTTCTCCTTCCAGTGGATTTATTATGCCGATGCTTTTAGGACCAAACGATAGTTGATTGATGCGATGAGAAAAATTACCCGGCATTGGACCAAACAACGGACCCGTGAGGTGCACATGGCCGCCTGGTACTAACAAAGATTTTCCACTAGTAATATGAAAGTTCCCAGTCACTTTATTGAGAATCAACGATCCATGTAAACGACACGCATCTGGCTCGATGTTGCGATTTCGTGATCTATAACATTAAACACAAAAAAACAAAATTAAAAAATATAGTTATTTGAATGTAAGAGACATTTTTAAAAGTTACACAATAGCATCTAAATGAGGGTGTTACTTATTAAAATAAATAAACTTATTCAAATAACGACGACTCATTATTATATACGTTTAAAGTAGACGCGCTATTTTCGTGATGCCATTTTGTGTCGTTCTTTGTGCTTTTTTTGAGCCGGTAGGCCAAGGCTAAACATGCTAAACAAAGTTTTAGTTGAAGCTAGAATTGGAATTGGAGCTTTGGAGGTGGAAATGGAGCTTGAGATAACAGCTTGCGTACAAATCCGCAACCGCGGGAGACAATTTTATGTCTCGTTCCACGTACGTCCGCCGACAAGTAAATTTTCTTTAGGATTTTTGGTAACGCTGTCGATTGTGCGCCAAAGTAAAGACATAAATATATCAATATATTATTAAAGGTACACACTATAAATCTACCAACGGTGTAATTTTTAGACCTCAAGACTTAATATATAAATTAATCAGTTTGCTAATTAAAATATTAACGTAATAAATAAATAAAATCCCATTAATAAAAAATCAATACCTTCTCCGCTCCTCATCAAAGCTAGAAAAATAATATTATAAGGGTGAGAAGACATGTTTACAACCACCACAAACAGTCTAAAATGTAAAATGTACATCATCCCGCCTACTTTTTTTGTGCATCGAATATCGGCGCAATGTAATCTTTTTTTTTCCATATTATATCATTTAGCGAGTGGTATTCCTCCCTCAAATACGTGTTGGTTAAACGCATTGCATCGAAATTTTTTTGCTGTTCTTCTGACATTGTCCACCAAGTATCGTCAGCTTCAATTTCTCCAAACAACATCATGTTTTGTCCAGTTGTGTCGACAATGTCTGCCCCGATGCCTAATAATATTTCAAATATAGATTTAAATAAAACAATAATAGCATATTAATTTATATAAATAACTATATGTGTTAAAAAATATTATTATTGGCAGTCTTGAAATATAAAAAAATTATCTATTTCTGATGTTTATCTTATCTTACAATTAGTCAACAATGAAATAATAAAGTGTTAACTTTTTTATTATCACATTTATTTTATTTTTATTTAAAATTAAAACTTCCCTTAATTCGCAATAACTACCTTTGTTTCGAATAATACCTAGGAATTTTAATAAATATTATATTCTAAAACTGCCGAACTCAATTATAAAATTATCGTGGTACAAGAGATTTTAACTTTTATCTTGATCACGACTAATATAACAATAGATACCGGTAAAAATATCATAATTAGGACACAAATAGAAAATTATTTTATTACTTAAAAATAATAATTTTTGTAAAGCTGCCAAATACACATTTTTCATGTTTTGCAAAAGCATTTGGATTTGTATTTAAAATTTGTCCATTGGAAACTATTTATAAAAGCCACCGAAAAAACCTATCTCAAACAATTCATCAGGTTTTACGACTACAATAATTTGACTGTTTTAGTAGTAATTTAATTAAAATGTTTATTTTTTTAACTCACTGTCACACGGAGAATTGACTGTTATATCTATATTTATAGGTAACTTAGAATTGTAGTCTATATCTGGTACAAACTTGTATGTATATCGATCTTGAAGAGCATATCGTATTTCTGATATAACTAACCATAGACCAAAGATAGCAACTAATACCGTCACTGAAAAGTAAAAATGAAAAAAACACAATTAAACATATAATGGTTAATTGGCAAAGAAAGATCACAGACATACTTACATATTAAATTAGCGTAAGAAGATTGCTCGTATATTTCATCTTGAACTTTAGGAAACGTATCTAATTCTTTTACGATATTATTCAAGGTGATTTTCTTTCCTCTATATCTGAGCATTTCAATATTCTAAAAAACAAAAACAAAATGAATTGTTTTAAATACTTATACCTACACCATACCAATACATTTATTTTAAACATATTCTTAAATACGTTTGCTGTGAACCTTATGGTTGTAATAATTATTGTTATTTCAATTAATTATTGTATGCTCAACGAATAACATAAGCGGTTAGTCAAAGTCACTACCAATATAATTAAAAGTGAGGTAACAAGTCAAAATGTGATATTAGGCATGATTATAGTTATTTTGAAATAAAAATCAAATAATTTAAAAAATTAAAAATAATACAAAATGTACAAAACAAAAATAAATTTTTAGCAAACACGTTATTCGATATATTTTTGGTCTCCTAAAATAAATATGTTTTTTTTTACTAGCGTCCCTCGACTGAAACTGATCCTATATTGACTTAGGGCTTCTTTTAGAAATATGACAAATTTCATTAAATAGTATAAAAATAATATTATTCAACATGAAATTTTGCACTTAAATATTTTAGAGTATAAAACAAGCTACTTATAGCTTATTTTTATAGATTTTTTAGATTTTCATAAAAATTAAAAATTCAACGCTGTTGTTAATGTGTTTTAATGTAATTTATTATATTAACAAAATTAAAAAAATGAATTTACCTCGATATTACAAATTATTAATCTCTAAATTTAAGCAACTGTTGATTGAAATAACTTTGATCAACCGAGCTACAGTTCAGGTCAGTTTGCACGACCGAGTAAGCGAACTATTTGATAAAAATTTCAACGATTTTGAACGACGTGTTAATCTATACTTACAATACAATAATTCTAGTTGGCTAATAATACTGTTTACGTTCACGATAACAGTATTGTACCTGATGGCGTCGCTTAACGAAGGAACTCTCAGACCATGACTGAAATGAAACGGCAAAAATAACAAGGAAAATAGTATTATTCTATTGATTTATTGTCGCGAACAAACGATTGTAGAATTATTGCTTGCAAAATAATAAGTTAAAAAAAAAAAATTTTAATTGCCTTGTCCGAAATGAACGCCGCGTTGATAAATTTCGAATTTGAAAACTGATAAGAAATTTACATTCTGTTATCACCATAAACCGCGTATACCACAACCGCGGTCGAAGTAGTTTTGTAGATTTTAACGAAACAATGACAATAAAATATTATGTTTCTATACTTCAATATTTCTGCTTTTCTAAGGAAATTAACAACTACTCAACGCCCGACATGTTTCCGTGCTAGTGTTTGATTAATTAAAAAAAAACATAAATTATTTATTTTTAAATAATGAAATAAATACAGACACAACACGTGATCACAACAATAACAACAACAAAAATTACTCGAGCTGATAACACGGCACACAGCGATAACGTCGTCTCGGACGAACGAAAAGTGCATACATTTTTGTCGACTTAGAAACACAAAAAGAGAATGGGTGTAAACATGGATTCGGTATTGAACGAAATCAAGTTCGATCAGAAACTGTTTGGTCTGTTGAAAACTTACAACAAGTACGTAAATTACAGGTTCGACTACGTGATCAGAACGAGTGTCGCTCAATCACCAGCCGAACTCGGCAACAACTTGATGAAATGTAAGTTCATAAAATCATGTATTATTTTACCACAAGTTACTTATTAAATCCGTAGTATTCGTTTACAACCACAAAATATAATTAACCCTTAACTCCGAGGGTAGTCAGCTAAAATAAAAAAATTATAATATATGTGAATCAAGAATGAAAGTAAACAATACCATTCAAGGATTCTTTTATCGTTGTTATTTTATTTTAGTGTTTATGACCTAGTCTAAAGGACCCTAAATCCCCCTATGTAAACTAAGAGACAGTGTTGTTAACCATATTTAAAAAAATACTAATAATAAATAACATATTTATATTATAGTTTTCAAATAAATCTATTTATTAAATCATTTAAAATTTTGTTCAAAATGTGTGCTTTTTTATTTACTAAAAAGTGTTTTTTTCTTCAGACTTTACTGGTAACACGTAGCTTTTAATTATATTCTAGCTGTAAAATAAATTGTAAAATTAAAATTTATAATTAATCTTAATATAAATAATTAGTATTAGACATTAATTACACATAGATTTAAAACCAATACTCAACAGAAGTATGAATTTTTTCCAAAACATGCAAAAACGAATTGTATGTTTAAACAAATTAATCTTTATGAAGTTATTTGTCTTTAAATATATGATTTTTGAGCATACAACATAAGAGAACACATTACATATTTTTCAATTATTTTCTATAGTCTTTTCAACATAGAATAATAATTATTTGAAAATAATGAGATATTTAATAGAACATTTCATCTTAGAAATACCTAAATAATTAAATAATTTCTTAATTTAAATAATCAATAATAGGTAAATAATAATAAATCATATAATATATAAGTTGTGTTTGAAATACATTTTTGTTTATTGTTTCAAATAATAAATTTATTTTAATTATTTTGAAACCTATAATTTATAATAATAATATTTGATTTAAACACATTTATTTAATAGCTTTAAACAACCTGATATTTTAAATATTTTGTTTACTTTTATTTAAATCAGTTTCTTAGAGTTGACATTTTGTCCAAAATACAAATATGTTTTAAATTATCATTTGGATAATTGTTTTTATAATAATAAAATGTTGAATTAAAAATGTTATTTAATATTTGTGTTTTATTTAAATACATTCTTATTAATAATAATTATTAAAAATTTTCTTCTAGTAACTATTAAAACAATTAAAAAATGTACTGTTTCCTTTTCTGTAGAATTTTTTCACTGATTTGTAAATTATTCTTTTGAGTTTGTTCGCTTTATTATAAAATTAAAAAAAAAAAAAATGATAATTTAAAAATATTATTTTTTGTAGATTACAAAAAAACTAAACAAAACATTTTTTTCAGGTGCCGTTCTGAATCCATGTCAACACGATTCGCTGGTTCGTAAAACCAATTGTGATTCTAATGCTAGTTTGAACACCTTAACAGAACTACGGAATGAACTGAAAACTCTTTTGAATGAAGCTAATTTAAAGAGAAAAGAAATTCATATAATGTCGTTAAACGAAGAGGGACTAAGAAAAAATATCAAACATTTAGAGGAAATCATAGCTATAAAGGTAATTTGAAATATGTTTATATTGTGCTTAGACTTCTAATAAATATATTTTTAATATTAATTTGGTGCGTACGATTTATGTTAGGAAAATTTAATCAGTCAAACCGCAAATTACACGGAAATCAGAAGTTGTGCAAAAGATAAGGTCCAAAAAGAATACCAAAGAATTAGTAAAAAGTATAACAAAATATTAAGTCAACTGAACAAATCCACCAAAGCAATCAAGGCCAGTACTGTAAATTCAAGTAAACACGTAGATTATGCAGATCGTTTGAGCGATCGACTCTTGAGGTACGAAACAAAAATTAAGAAAATGGACGATATCATTAAAATTGCCGGAGACAGCCAAGAAAAGTAAGTACTAACAATCGTTTTCTAGAATTCAGTGTTAGTTCTTAATGTGTATATTATATTACTGTAATTGTGTTTATAGATTGATGAAGGATAAAGTCGCTTTGCAAACGTCCAAGGATCGTTTGAAAATTTTCTACGAACAATTAAGCAGCCAATTGAAAATCAAAAACGAAATGATCGCCGTGCTTATGGAGAGCGAAAAGCGAATTAGTCAGTTGAAATCGTACCTATCCAATTTTGGGGTACGTCGTGTGTTGTTAAAAAAAAAAAAAACTGTGGCATTTTTATAAATATACTTCTAAATTTCAGGTGTTATCCAGTATCGAAAAAAGTCGAGTCCACACGTCTTCCAATATAATGGAACATAATAATTTAAAGAAAAGTTTCCTAGAACTACAACACATGAGAAATGAAGTTTTGAGCTGTCGGCCCAAAGGAATGTTCAATCCAAAATACCAAAAAGTAATCCTTCGTTTTGTATTTTAGGTGTAAAAAGCAAAACTGCTAAAAAAATGAAACTAACTCTTTTCCGACTTGAACTAAATTAGTGTCGCTCTCTAATAAAAAAAATGTTCTACAAATTCTTTATGTGATATCATTAGTCATTTTAATAAATATATACAAAAAAATCCATAAGGCACATTCCGTTGATAAAAATAGCGAAAGTTCTTCCCAAAGGAGCAAACGCTGCTGCCATTTTTATCAAGAAGTTGCCTTACAAAACTATAAACTTTAAAATTTAACGATTTGTCAATTATTTTTTTATAGGAAAATAGTTTAAACAAAGAAGAAGTAAGGAAATATTTAGAAAACGATGAAACCATTGACACTGTAGATTATTTAATTGAATTGAAAAACAACCAACCTAGTAACAACGATGACGACTGGATGAAACATATTCCGACGGTAGTTGAAAAACATTATTTTTTATGTTCTTTGGAATTTTATTGGTTGCTTTATTATCGTATTTTATTTATTTATAGGAGTCTGTCGAAGCTGCCGTTTTTCTAAAATGTCTAAATAACCTGAACACGACAGAAATTAAGAAATTGCTGTTACACTATTTTAACAAAGTCGTAGATCTTAAAGAATCCGGACGAGAAAACGACGAAATCATCTCTAAACTTGATGTGTGTAATTGATTTTATAATTTTGTTAAATTAGACTTGTCTTTTTTAATTATTCCTACCAAAATTAATAACTTAAAATAACTTGATGCAACATTTAATAGTTTTCTAGAATAAATTCAAATCTGTAAAACTATTCGATGCGCATTATCTTTTTATCAATGTATTTTTTTTTTTTTAGGAAATTAATGACAAGCAGAGACGTACAATTGTCTCGTTGAATAATAGCTATCAAGAGTTCCATTTGTCGGTGGAGAAAAAATTTATAGCGTTAAAGAAACACTATCAAGACAAAATAAATATGTTATTCCAACTTTTGCAAGAAGAAAACAATGCCATAACTGTATTTAAAATGAGGCAAGAGATTGTTGGATTGAAGAAAAAAATTGGTGAAATGGAAAAAACGCAGCAGTCTGGTAAGTATGATTTTTTATTAATAAAACTTATATCAAGTTGTAAACGACTTATTGATAAATATTTAATTTTTACTATAGCGAAACCAAAAGACGCGTTAGTTTTGGCAGAACCTCATCATCACAGTTTGGACCAACTCGAGATGTCTCGATCCGAATCAGAGACGATGTCCTCAACTAAAGTGACGTACCACAAAAATAAACTAAAAATTCAAAAAAATAAATCCAAATAATGTTCTAGTTAAAATTAGGATTTGTCCAATATAACTGTACGTGACTTATCGAATACTTATTTTATTAGTACAGTTATCGTCAAATTGTTAAATCATAATAACCGAGATTATTAGCTTAATTTTCTAATACATTTTTCTATCTTTTATTTTTAACTATATCTATTATAGTGATTATGACCCTGCTGTTGGATAATTGTATAAATAAAAACAAATTTCTTATGTTTTCTTTTTTATGTCATAATAGTTTTGTTGTACGATAAAATAATTATTCAATATAATTTGATTGTTTGAATTTTTCACCAACCGAACATAGTTTATTATATTCAAAAAAAAAAAATGTGTGTATGTTAAACATTCAAAATAATAAAATAAATATAAATACGAGTATATAGCCATTTGTATTTTACGATTAAAAAAAAATTAGTTTAATAAATGCATTATTCAGTTTTTTTTTAACATTTTTATAATCAAACATTTATTAGCTATAATTTTAATTAAAATAATTTTAACTTTCATTAATATAGTTTTTAGTGTTAAAAAGTTGTTTAGATAAATTGAGACTTAATTTTGGCCTTAATACTTGGAAAACAAATTATATTTTATTTTATGTATCTTTATCTGGAAGCAAACGACAAAAGTTATAAGTCGATGTCAACACTGTAACTGAAGTATGTGGTAATAAACTTTACAATGAAAATAAAAACTGGATAAGAATTTTTATTGATAGTTCAAACATTAAACAAACAATGCTTGTCAAAGCGATAAATAAAATCGATCAAACTTCATTAAATAGAAAATTGTAAAACAAAGAAGTAGAGTTAAGTCGAACGAAAAGCGCTTAATTGGAAGAGAGTAGGCAATATTTAACAAAAATTGGTCTCGTGGCCATAAAATATACCGGCAAATTTTTAAGATGAAAAAATATATTAAGGTTTTTTGTTAAAAAGGGTTTTTTTTCTGAGTTATACCAAAATGGTAATAAAAAATGACTTGTAGAAATCTCTTTCTGGTGTATCTATTGGACCGTTTTTTTTTTTATGTGAAGCTTGCTGTTTCTCTAAGAAGGCTAAAAGGCCAATTTTTTATTTAACTGTTGGAAAATTATTTTAATTTATAAAGAAAAAAGGAAAAATATATACGCCTAAATTAAATTTTTGAAAACAAAATTTAAATGCAGCTTTTAAGCCCCCGGCAAGAAGACGTTAAACTTAATAACAAAAAAAAAATGTCTTAAATCGGTTCGGTAGACAATTCAGAAAGTTACTTTGCGTTTTAGTCATTATTTGGACAAAATTTAGCGCTTTTCTTTTCTCCTTAAGAACAAAATACTTATTTATAGAAGCTTAACCTGTTTTAAATCTGAATAGAAAGAAACACACAAATGTCACTTTAACATTAAAATATAAAAAAGTTAACTCAATAATAAATATAAACAATAATTCAAGTACACTCTTATAAGGTTAATAATAAGTAATATAATATTTATGTTGAAATCAAGAGGGAAAAATTACTTTTTTGATTTAGGACGACCCCTTTTTGCTTTTTTTTTTATCAACTCATCCTTTTGGGGTTTTACTTGTGCATGAGATTTGTTGTCGTGTTTTAATTTTTGCTTGCGATGTTTTTGCAGTTCTTTTTCGTTTTCTATTAGTTCATTGTCTTTTTGGATCAACGCAATCAATTTGTTACACCGTGCTTCAAGTTCACTCGAGTTTCGGCTTTTGATAAACCAATCGAATCTGAATTTCGTTGAGCATCTAAATTAGGATTAACACATTTGCTTGTTGAGACAATTTAGTTACACCGCAAAAATACATTGAATCGTTGAATACATTCAAACAATGAATTTGTACGATATCGGGTATACCTTATAGTGGCTTTCAGTTCATCGTACAGGTTTTCTTTGTCGATACCGAGTTTATGAAGCATGCATACTAGAAATCTATCTTCGTCTTCGGTGTAATGTTTACTTGCGTTTCCTCTGTACGGTATTCTCAACTGGTGAAACGGAGCCTTGTACCTTCCTACCTGTTACCAATCACAAAATAAAAAACAATTTTAGTAAATCCAATTTAGTTTTTAAGATTGCAGTGAAGTGATAAGAATCCAAAAGGATAAAAGGGGTATTTTCATTACAATTTTACAGGATAACAAAATATTTTCATTCGTTTTTCTTCGATAAGTCGGTTTAAACACTTTGGAAAATGAGTACACTTAATACATATACCGATAAACTCGGTTTTGAAAAATGCTCTCTTAAATCTTTTTGATTCTTATCGGTTCTAATATATCTTTGTTGGTTACTATTTCATCCAAATTTTCCTTGACGTTTTTTCGATATTTTGCTAATTTCGACTCTCCTTTTTCAATTTTATTTACGATTTTTTCATAATCTAGCAGTTCGTTACACCGTTTCCAAAACACCGCACTGTATTCTTTCACTTCCTCAATAGTTTTGCCTGTAATAATTATAGGAAAAAAAATGTAAATAAAATTTACTACTGTTTACACTTAAAAGAACTTATCAAAAAATTATAATATTTACCTTCAACTTCTTTTGCAATATTATTGATATCGTTTCTTCCGTACTTTTCGTTGGCTTTAATAAAGTTATTAAAATCACGTTTAGTCCACTTTGTAAAACCCTATAATCACAAACAAAATGTCACTGAATTTCCAACACTTGATTTATAATACACATAAAATGTTATTGTTTTGTGCAACAGCTGAATGCTAGTAAAAAAAGTGTTAATAAGTATTGTGGTTAGTAGCAACATATCGATAAACAACATAAAATTAATCAGTTTAGTATATTAGTATACAAGTTGAAATTTTACATTATAAACAATAGTTTGAATATAATACAGTAAAACCAGTTATTAGAAGAAGCCAAGTTCCCAGGAGCCTATTATGGTTACAACCTAAAATCGCATGTTGTAATGGTTAGATTTAATTCTAATAAAAGCATTAATTCTAATAAGTAATTGGTAATTTTTTTTGTCTGTAAAAAATTGTTTTTTTTTTAATGACTTAGGAAAGAACCTTCGCGCCATTACTACAGGCATAAATGAGGTAATAGTATATAGTACATTACAAGTATTTAACTATAAAATACAACCCAGTAACCGAATGTTAGTAATAAAAAGCAAAGAGGAATCAGCATTATTAGTAATGTTACTTAACCGTTTATCAACTGTACCTGTTTTCTTTATACCTACTTAATGTAAACATCAAAATCTGCGCATACAAACCCCTAATTATGTAAATAGCATATAATATAAATATTACATTTATATAGTTGTTCGTATGTTCAACATCTTATGTAAGTTGTTTACGTTTGCCGAACCTCTCGTTTTGTTTCTAGTACGGATTACTACAGTGTGACTGTGTCCCTAATGAGAGTTAAGTTTCCAAAGTTATTTGTAAAATGTTTTCCACTGGGTCTGAATATGTTTCCGTAGCTGTTCCGAATCCTTTATCGTGCGTTGGTTCGATCACCTTTTGAAACGACTTACTAGGCTAAAAGGAATCTAAGCACCTAATACTCAAATTAATTAATTTACTTTGGTCAGTAAAATTTTCTTTTCCGTATGATCCTCTTGAGTAAGCGGCTTTGCTTTTTTAATCTTTTTTTGTTCCTTCTTTTGCATTTTGACTGCATCTGACCCCAACTCAGGTTCTAGCGGTACCTATACAACATCAATAGTAAAATTAATTATTATGCAGACGATGAATTATTTAAATTTAAATTAATTAACGGAAAATAAACACTGACTTTGTAGCCAATGGTTTGTCGATAGTAACAAATTTCTTGATCGAGCAGCTGAAACAATCTAATCGGAAAAAATTGATAATCTTGTACCGATGGTTTTTTTGGAGGACGTGGTATCTATTGAATTACAATAAAAGTATACAGTTAATATGTATATGTATAAAAAATATTCTAATTTTAATTGAGAATTGATTGAAACGGTATTATTTTTTTGTTTTTGAACAAAATATAACACATGTATTATTAGAATATGTGATAAACCCATTTGTTTGAAAGCCGATATAAAATTTAAAGAAAAACCAAACTTAATGTGCAAATAATAAACATTTACCTTTGTTTTTGGATGAGACGCTTTGGGTGTTTTACGAAAATTCGAATTTAATGCGTAAGTTGATTTACGTTCGCGTTTAGCAGGTTCTATCCAATTTTCTGCAATGGCCAGTTTGTGTTTTTCCCTAAAAAAAAAATCATATAATTTCAAAAATAATTGTTTACATTTCCAGTTGTGGGCTATTGCCAGACAAATGCTGGGTTGCATAATGAATTAATGAATTAAATGATTCATTAAAATTTAATGGACTAATCACGGGCCACTAAACTATGTTTAAGGAACCTTCTAGAAGAAGAAACATCTAATAGTACACTAAACGTTTATGCAACCCGGCATTAACGGCATAATTACAAAAGATAGATCCTTAATAGGCTTAATGATTTATCCATGTTAACTGAACAGTAGATTAATAACTTGTCAATAACCTAAACAAACAAGTTGGCTCAAAGCGAAGGAATTAGAAATTGTATAGTTAACTATATACAAATTTTTTTTAGTTATTATTTTATATCTGAAGCGCTAAACTAATTTGCTTAAAACGGCTGGCGACCAATGTCAATTTGGCTAATCGATTATTTTATGTAAAGTAAATAAAAATGCATTTGAAATATTAATTATTTAATTAAAATCAATAAATTATTTTTTTAAATTATTCAGTACGGATATGCGAGACTTAAAAATGGCCCTTAAATTATGCAGGAACCATCTCTATTTGAAACTAATTCCTTAAATGTTATGATAACCAAAATATTTTAAAAGTTTCATTGCATAATATTTCAAATGCTGTCTAAAGTAAATAACATAATTAATAGAAAACGTTCTACCTATAATCTTCACCCTCAAACTTGTACAACGACTCATTCGGACCATCTAAAGTGAAATTTCTTAAAGATGATTCTCCCAAGGATCCTAACTTCTGTTTTAATTCTTTAGTCTACAAAAAAAAAATAATAAATAACGTTAAACATTTCAAACGAATAAATCAACCAAATGAACAATTGTACTTTTTCTTCTCCTTTACGTAAAATAATTTCAATGTCTTCGTCAGTAATGTCAGAGTCCTTCAATTGAAAAACATGATTTGCTCCATGTCGGATCATGCTGAGCATTTCGTTTTTTTTCAAGGCATTTTCCTGCTTATCGACTAAACGTCCTTGCTGTATAACCAACTTGTCTAATCTAAGTTTGATTTCGGCTCTTTCGATTATTTTCTCTTCGACCGTATTCTCGGTAATCAGTCGGAAAACTCGAACTTGTTTTTTTTGTCCAATTCTATGAGCTCGGTCCTTTTGTAGGAGAGAAAAATATGATTAAATATTATAGTTTATAGGTTTACAAACAATTCTCACCATGGCTTGTAAATCTATTTGGGGATTCCAATCTGAATCATACAAAATAACAATGTCGGCAGAAGTTAAGTTAATGCCAAGACCACCGGCCCGTGTAGCAAGTATGAACACAAATTTGTCGCTATTCGGTCTGTTAAACTCGTTGATCTGCCGTTGACGATCTTCATAAGGCGTGACTCCATCCAAGCGGCAGTACTTAATTTTAATAAACATTAAATTTTATATATTAAGATTATTATTTTTTCTTTTTTAAATAACATACATTGTATCCTCTCAAATACATGTAATCTTCCAATATGTCCATCATACGTGTCATTTGACTAAACACTAGAATTCGAGAACCTTGTTCTTTTAAGACTTTCAGCAGTTTATCAAACACAACCATTTTGCCACAATTGTAAATCTGAAATTAAAGAAATAATATTATATACAAAATAAGTAAAATATAATTAATTGGCCGTAATTTAGATTCAATGCCGGACTGTGCAAGCTATTTTACAATTAAGCGCTTGCGTCATTAGCGGGCACTATTATTATTTGAGTCAATCTTTAAATCATCATAAATTAAAAATGTAGTACTTACGATATGTTCGTCAGTAGTATAAGGGGGACCGGTTCAGCGCCTTCAAACAAATAAGGATGATTGCTACATTTCCTCAGATGCATGAGAATGTTTTGTAACCTCATCTTTTCAACATGACCAGCTCCATTGATTACATCGATATCTTTCATTAAAATTTTGGTGTACCTAATTAAGAGTCATTATTGATTACTTAAATCGATTATTGCTTAAATTATTTATTATCGTTGCAATAACATACCATTCCCGTTGCAATTTGCTGAGGCCGACATAAACTAGAACTTCTTTTTTAGGCTTCAGACTTCTTTCTACTTCTGATTTTAATCTTCTCAAAAGAAACGGTTGTAAAACCTTGAAAAAATTTAATGATTACATTATTTTGCATTAAACACATACAACAGGACACAAAATTAACATACCGCATGAAGTCGCTTGATCAATGTATTGTCTTCAAAGCAGTTATTTGTGTTAAACCATGAATTGAAATCCTTGAAAATGAACAAAACACTTGGATAAAATAAAAAATAATAATATGCTCAAAACACTGTTAAAAAAATTGCATACGTCCGATGAATTGAATACGTCTGGTAGCAAAAAGTTCAAAAGTGCCCAGAGCTCGTGTAAATTATTTTGCAAAGGTGTGCCCGTCAGCAGTAGTCGATTAGTAGTTTTAAATACTCTTATGATTTCTGAAAGCTTGCATTTTTCGTTTTTGATTCGATGCGCTTCGTCTATAACCATATACCGCCAATGGACTCTGCGCAATATTCCTTTTTCGCTGATTACCATTTCGTAAGTAGTGACACATATATCCCAACCGCCAGGTTTGAACACATCACGTAGGAATGCGTTCTACAATGATACAATTCCAATATAACAAACAAACATTCTACTCATAAAATCCAAATGAATATAGTTTTTAATTATAACAGATTACAATACACAGGATTGCCAATGTTATCAATTGATACCGACAGTACTATCACTCACCCTGACGTCTTGATCTCCGATCAAACATATTGTACGTAATGTAGGACACCATTTTGTGAATTCGTTTACCCAACTGGCCAGAGTCGATTTGGGTACAATGACAATGTGCGGACCCGATATGTTTCTAAAGTGCTTTAAGTAGCTAAATAGAGAATAATTATCCATTGAAACACAATCGTAGACAATGACGACACAATATTATTGTAATAGTATTAGGTAACGTAAAAAGATCAAACCCCAAGAGCGATATAGTTTGCAGAGTCTTGCCGAGACCCATTTCGTCGGCCAAAATACCGTTGATGCCGTTTTCAAACAGAGATATCATCCAATTTAAACCACGGACTTGGTAATCACGGAGTTTTCCATTTTTTATGTAGAACGGAGTCTTATCAAATTGTGTTATGTATTTGTCGGAAACCAGTGCCTCGTTTAATAATTCTTCATCTTCTTCTCGTTCAGTTTGCTGATGACGATGACTAAAATGTAAAAAAATAGGAAAGAATATTTTATTATTACAGGTGTAAAATTTAAAGGAAAACATTTTTTTTTTAGAGAATACTGAGCAGTTATCGTTTAAAACTAAAATTATCCTGCATTCGTTTTTGAATTCGGTATTACTTGTACAAATTCTAAAATAATAAATATAATTACTCTTTGACGTCTGCAGTTTCTGCTAAATTTTTCAGTAAATCTTTTGTACTTTTTATTACGCTAACTGACCTACTGGCACCAGGTGTTCCTTCTTTTTTTTTAGACGTCATAAAATGGGCAAATATTTCAGTTTGTTTGAGAAGATAGTCAAATCTTTTACCACGGTCAGTTACCTAAAAGTCACAATAACAATAATTACAATTCTCAATTTTTACTAAAATTATAATATTTAAGTGCCAATATATTTATCAAATGCTATTATCGCATGACAATATTAAAAAAAAAAACTAAAGTTATACTTGTTTAGATAATATAAACATCATCATTATACAACATTTTTTATTCTATAAATGTCCGCTAAAATAGTTTATATTAAAACCTAATATATCATTAGAGTTTTATTCGTTAGATATTATTATGATTTATTACAGTACAGGCAGTACTCAATAAACAATATAACAGATATTAAATATATATATATATATATATATATATATATATATATATAAAATTCAAGAAACACATGAATAGGTTTGAGTTATTTAATAAAGAGTAAAGATGGTTTTTCGTTATCTGTTTGCTTCTTCTTAATGATTGCCCTATTCAAAAAGTAATTTGATTTCTTAATAGTATACGAAAGGGATTGGGAGAAAACAGAAATAAAGAGATGGAATTTTAAAACTCGAATTTAAAAGAAAATTAAGAGAATTGAATTATCCATTTATTAGGAAGAAACGATAAATTCATTAACTAACCTGACATAACCACTAATAAACACCAATAGAGTATATTTTAAGGCCCTGCAAAGTCTTGAGAGCTAATGGCTATAGTCAATTTTAAGAGCCATTTCACCGAAGCTCAACCAATCTGACTATATTGAAAAATGTTTTTTGTGACACATAAATCCTAAACTCACTTTCAATGCTTATACTAAATAAAAAATAAATAACGAACGTTTTTCTTTTTATTAATTTTCAAGACTAGGATAAGATTTTTTTAGGTTTTTTCTTCAGATTTGACGCATTCAAATTGATTTAAAATTAAATTTGAGAAAGAAAAAAATATTAAAAACAATGACTTGCAATTTAAAACAAGTATAGGTAATATGAAAATATTGGATATAGAATAAATAAATATTATATATAAAATATATACATAAATAAGTACTGAAAAAAATCACAATAAAGAATAATTTTAACTTAAATGTTTTAAGCAGTTATTTTTATTTAAAATACAAATATTTATACATTTATTTATGAAAAAGTTTCCTATGAAATAATAAAATATAAATAAAAACAAGTTAAGTTGTAAGAATAATACACAAATGTTTGTATTAGTATTCAAACCAAGTATAACATAATTAAGCACGACCAGAATTACAATACGTCCTTTAAAAGGGTAACTCTAAATTAACGAAAAGCAGAAAATAACTAATAAAACAACAGGCTAACCCGATAACCTGATACTGATCTATAAGCAGTTACTAACTTAAGAACACTTAGCTGAACCAGAGGCTAGTTTTAAAACGCCTGTCGCTTATGAGCACACATTATCTAGAATGCGGCTTTAAACAACGTATAGTTATATAATTATGAAAAAAATTAAACACACTTAACGGGTATAAATAATAAGATGTGCGACAATGATAAAAAACACTGCAATCATAGAATAGGTTTTAAAAGGCAGTCGTATTAACTTTTAGCCCTGCCAATAGAAATGTTTAGATCGAAGACAGATGTACATCACCATATTGTCAAAACAGAAACACATTTGCAATCGTAAGTCACCAGCTCCAAACATTATCATTTATAATGCATAATATTTGTATCGCAAATTATTTGTTTACAGAAGCTATCGAGTTCTATCATCGGGCAATAATTTTAAATAAATATATAAATGTTGATTTTTCAAAGAAAATATACATTTTGCAAAATATATACTGACCGAATCATCTTTTTCCAGTGCATTAAAATTGTCAACACCTTTTTTAGTATAACTGTGGATTTTTTTGTCATTTTCTGTCATCGTTTCAGTGTCCATCGTTAAACCGATGACAGTCGAGCTAGACGGCTAAAATTATAACGTAAATACAATTTTCATTATTCAACAACCATAGTAAATTACAAAAGGTATTAATTAAAAGGTTTACAAAAAGAAACTATCTCATGATGGCAGCGTTGGACCTTCATGGCCTGTTAAGCTACATGATGATGACAATTACAATAAGGCATTAGACAAATTACTTACCTACCTATTCGCCGGTATTAAGTTGGTCAAGTATTTTTAAATACGAGTACCGGATTATATTTTAAAACCGAGCACACTCCAAAATATTGTTATTAGTCACTTCTTTACTGCGACAATATTAGTTTTTTAGTTTTTAACAAACACATAAACAAGCACATACGACGCTCCCCGTTAACAGGTAACAGGTTATGAACGACAGCTGTCATATTTTGGATTTTTGGTAAAATATGTTTATGTGAAAATGATATTATATTATTATCACAGCAAAGCTTTTCTGTACAAAACAGAACAACTCGAAGCACGGTAATATTGTATAACACGGTAATACCGTAAACGCAATGATTATAATAGTATTATTGCACGTTTTCTTTTATTTGATTATTTTAATTTAATTTTTATTAATATAATTTAGACTGGACCGTTATAATGAAAAAAGTTCTGCGCTAGATTTATTTAGCACGTTATGTACGTTTGAATAATTATTCTTTCTAAAATGTATGATCTATGAAGTTTATTTTATTTTTAACAAAAAACTAAATTAGAAAATATTGAATTTTTTTGTTCTGTATGTGTGATTTACAACGTTGGAGGCGATATAATATTAAAAAAATTGTGCTACAAGATATAGGTATGAGAATAAATATAACAGCCATAAAAATTCTATAAAATTGATATATTTTTTGGTTTGTACTTTATTCAAGAAACTGACATTTTTAAATGAAAATCGACTTCCTACATATCATAGTACAGTGGCCAAAGAACTCGGATCTCTTTAAAAAATTGAAATTGGACCATCGCCGAAATTTCGTCTAGCTTTTTGGTCTAAAATAAGCCAAAATGACTTTTACTCAAAAATTATATAAATTAAAAATAATATCTCGAAGCTTGTACAAATCAGTCGGAAAATTACAATAACATTATTATTAAAACCACTTTTTTCTTAATAATTGCCTGTACAAAACTCCTTAAAAACAGTCCCCATGCAATCCCCTTAAGTGTTTGTAAAAAAATGTCGATCGATAATCTACTTAGAAAATTAACAATAAAATAATATATTTTTTTAAACTCTACAGTACTATAATATGCGTTATCATTTTTGATAAAGTTTCCCTTAATAAAACGGTGAATTGATTGATGAAAATGTATTATTTATTTTCGATTCAGTTCAATTTTTTTTTTTTTAATTGACATTTTTATTTAGAAATCAAATAATCAACTGGGGAAATGCAATATTTTTTTTTATACTGAAATTGGAAAATATTCAGTTTTAACTGTGTGTTTTAATTTTTTTTTACTTTTGTTTATGTTAATGTATCGAAAAAGTTATAAAAAATTACAATTATTTTGTAGATTAACAGTATAGGCAGGGGCGTATTTATGGGGAGGGGGCTGAGGGGGCTTCAGCCCCCCCCCCCCGAAATTCCAGGAAATTTTTTTTAAGTCTGCCTAAGCGGCATGAGCTTATACCCTTTATCTATGGGATATAAATATTGTAGAAGTTCAGTATAGTCGTTTTAAAAATAATAAATTGCTATTTATGATTTTATTTTTATAACACAACGACTGATGTTGTTATTATTATATTTTGGGCGGCTGATTTACGGGCGCCAATTGTCTTCAGTCTTGTGGCAAAGCGTAGGGATAGGAGTGATCATCGTCATATTATTTCGGTTTATTTCGCGATACATGCAGTGTACACTACTATTGTAGAGCTATTATAAAAAAATACAAACAATTAAACATCAGTAGTATATTTTATATTGGGGAAAAATGTCAACGATAAAAAAAAAAGATTGCTATAGCCTGTATACATATATACCCACTTATATCAATAACAAATCGAACTAATCGCAGATGTTATAGAAATAATAGAATAATATTTATGTTATATAAAAATAAAGCAAAAACGAAATGTTTTTATTTGTTTTTTGTATGGTATGTTAAGAATTGGGGGGTTTGGCTTGCCAAGAAATATTATCGAATTCATAGTATATTTTACTAATAACGTGTGTAGACGTGTGTACAGTGTTCTGTGTTCTGTGTTTCTGCTGTGTAAAATTAATTTTATTAAAATAATATAATGAAACGAACTCAGTCATTGTTAACTTTTTTTAAAAAATCTAAACAGTCAACCGATCTGGAACGAACTGTTCCATCTTTATCAAATGTTTTACAAGATGAAGACACTGTGGCATCTGAAACAAAACAAGCCGCTTCAAGTGTAGAAGTTAGTTCTCCGGTAATTAAACATATTTTAGATTCTAAGTTTGATATAGGAGCTTATGTTGAGTTTAAACAAAATTTAAGTGACGAAGAAAAGGTTTCTATTTTACAAAACGTATGGACCCCTGATTGTAAGTTTGATTTTCCATATGATACTACTGGAAAATATAAACGTAAATTTCAAATTAAATGGCTTGACACTTTTAAATGGTTGGCTTATTCAAAATTAAGAGAAGGTTCTTTTTGTAAATACTGTGTATTGTTTTTTAATTCAAGTCAGGCTGGTAAGGGTTCTCATGAGCAGTTAGGCAAACTTGTTTTAAAACCCTTGACGAAATTGAAAGATGCATTGGAAGAGTTCAGAAATCACGAAAAAAATAAATATCATAAAAATTCGTTGCTTACCGCTGATAACATAAAGGCTATTTTAGATAATATATTGGTACAATTAAATAATAAACGAAAGGATGAAATTTTAAAAAATCGCGAAAAACTTAAACCAATTATTCAAACAGTAAGATTATGTGGCAGACAGCAAATAGCGTTAAGGGGACATGAGGATTTTGGTCGAATCTCTTTAGAAAAACCAAAAAATAACGATGGTAATTTCCGTTGTTTGCTTCGATATCGCGCAAAAAATGGTGATAACGTATTAAAAGAACATTTAGAAACTAGTGGTGGTAAATCTATGTATACAAGCTCACTTATACAAAATGAAATAATTAATGTGTTTGGGGAATTAATTCAATTAAAAATACTTGAAAAAGTATCAAAAACAAATTTTTATACAATACTAGCAGTTGAAACCACTGACATATCTCAAGTTGAACAATTTTCCTTATGTATTCGTTATGTTGACGAGGAAATTTTTTCAATTCGAGAAGATTTTCTCACATTTGTTCCCGTTCATGATTTATCTGGTGAAGGATTGGCCAACACGATTAAAGAAACTTTAAAAAAAAATGGGTTTGATTTAAGCAAAATACGAGGCCAAGGTTATGACGGGGCAGCAGCAATGCGTGGTCGTTTTAGAGGTGTTCAGGCAATCATTAAAGATATGTACCCAAAAGCATTATACACACACTGTGTAGCACATTCATTAAATCTTTGCTTATCAGATGCGTCTAAATCTCTAGATATTCGAAATGCTTTTGGTATAATAAGTGAATGTTGCTCGTTTTTTAACTGTTCGGCAAAACGAACTACAGTCCTTAAAAATAAAATACTAGAAATTAAACCAAATTCACAATCCACTAAATTAAAATCTTTATGTGAAACTCGATGGGTATTACGCCATGAAGCAGTTATGCTTTTTAAAGAATTTTTAGAACCCATTCTTGCTGCATTAGAACAACTGCAGAATGAATGTTCTGGAACGGATTCTTCAATAAGGACTAATAGTCTTTTACATTGTATTCGTAATTTTAATTTTTTAATATCTGTTTGCGTATCTAGTAAATTATTAAGTTATACTTATAATTTATCTAAATATTTACAAAGTAAAAATATCGATCTTTTTAACGCTCTTAAACAAGTTACCCAGGTGGTTTCTGTGTTAAATACCATAAGAGAAAACGTTGATTTAAAATTTAACGATATTTATAAAGACGCCCAAGGTATTGCTATAAAGTTAAATGTTGAACCAAAAATACCTCGAACATGCAGCAATCAAAAAAATAGAATCAATGTCCCGTTTAATAATATTGAAGATTTTTACAAAAAAACTATTTTTATACCGTATTTGGACGATTTAATAATGGCATTAAATGAAAGATTTTTACCTCATAATGAAACTATAATTTCATTACAATTTGTCTTACCTCGTATCATAGTTAAAAAACCATTTTTTAATTTAAAAAAAGCTGTCGAATTTTATAAACGTGATTTACCTGGGCTAAACGACATTATAGAAGCAGAGTATGAAATTTGGCAGGCTAAATGGAAAAATATTGAAGAAAACTTAAGACCTGCAACTGCTATAGAAGCTCTAAGAGCCTGTGATCGTTTAATGTACCCTAACATATTTGAATTACTAAAAATACTAGCTATAATTCCAGTATATTTAAGAAATACAACTTCTGAGTCCAGGCTAGTAGGACTAGCACTTTTATCCATTCACCGAGACATTGATGTAAATGATGATATGGTATTAGACAAATTTGCCAACAGTGGTAAAGAGAGAAATTTGAATTTAATATAATTTGTTTTACTATTATTATAATTAGTATTAATAAGAATTATAATTTCTATTTTATTATATAATATTTTGTAAGACTTGAGATTGTGTAACTAATAATAATTATATCAGAATTATAATATTACAATTTTACATTTAATTTCGAAGTCTTGTTTTTAATAAGTTGAGAAATGGGTAAGTTTGGCCAAATTTTTAAAGTTTATTTCTGGATCAGAATTTAGAAATAACTCTTTACACAGCTCTTTTACTCAATGCCTCAGCCCCCCCCCCCCAAAAAAAAATCTAAATACGCCCCTGAGTATAGGCAATAAATGATAATATAAGGGCCATATTTTGTATTTTGCACAAAAATGTATATAATTATTCTGTTTATTTAAATAAAACATTTTTTAATGGGAAAAATACCGTTTTCGAGGGAACGTTTTATTGCATATTATTTCGATCATTTTTAGCGCGTACAAACGCATTCATATTTTTTTATTCTTTAATTATACGGCTGTTACTTGTTTTTATTGCATAAACGTTCGGACACAAATTACAACGATCCATTAATGTTGGCATATTAATATTTTATCCCTTGTTTCATATAGAATATTTCAAAGCGAAATTGGCTTGTAATCCTTTATTCCGTTGCGAAATCACGGTCTTTGAAAATCAACAAAGGTCACACACGGGTTTTCCCCACACGCATATACTGCACAACATTGTACCCTAATTATAATGATCATTATGTGTACCCGTATGTTGATCCTGCGGAGAACGCTTTACAAATAATAACTAAAAAGAAATGATCTAGCTTGATGTATACTTTTTAAACATCTTAAAATCTAACATGTGTATTTAAAAAAAAAATTTCCGCTACTATTTAATTGCTTATTTTAATATACATATTGTACAACGCACATCCCCCACAGAAATATTATCAGACCCGTGATTTCTTTCTAGACGTTGACACCTAAGACGTTTAAAAAAAACTGAAATAGTAATAATAGCTCATTTTCCTAAAAAAAATTAATTAAAAAAACCAAGCACTGAAGTTATGTTTATCCGTTAGAAATAGTATGAAATAACTGAATTCAGTTGTTGTCTACAATTATTACTCAAAGTAAGAGGGATCGAAAAAATCTGATTTAATCATCACTTTACTGACATTAACATTAATTGACTTTAACATCAATTCTTTTCTGATTCTCTATTTATGAACTTTTTTCGAAACCCAGCATTTAACATTTTGTCACAATATTTTCGTTTTTATTTGAAAATTTCTTATAGAATACATTATTATTTGTTCTGTAGTACCTTTCAAAATAAATATAAACGGATTTTTCTTTTGCTTTGTTCCTGCTGTTTCCTCGGGCGACATAATAAAATAACTGCTTATTTTATAAAGATTGTGTGGAAATACAAAAATCAAATAAAAGTAAACCCCCCGCGCAGTTCAATAATAGATCTTGACATTTTCTTTATCGAATTCAATTTAGTAGGACTTTTACCAGACTTTATAATATGATTTTGAAATTTCCATTAAGCAGTAAAACCATAAAGCTTTCTGAATTTCATCCGAGAACAAAAACGTAGGTACATTATTATTTGAACTGTAATCGGCTTAAACGGAAAAATTACATTAAATCCCCCCATTCAATACACGTTAATACGTTTTGGGTAGCATTACAATGTAATATAATATTCGCTGAAATCACGTTGAAAAAGCATAATAAAATTTAATATTAGTATTGGCGGTAGTTGGCTCTTGGTAAAAATCCTGAAAAGATTTTCAGAAATCCGTTCGCTGCTTGTTTAATTATTTTAGTACACGTCCAAACGAATAAGCGAAAATAAATATTTTACAAGATTCGACTCTAAAAGTAAAGTCTGCTACGCTTTTATACAAATAGCTGGTGCGGAATTTTCAGTGCATATTATGGAACATACAATACAAATATATAACAATGCAAAACAAGTCGCAGTAACTGGTGTTTTCTCACAGTAGCTAAAGTAATAATACAGCCAAACACAATATAAATTCAATCATAAATCTCGGGCTTTGAAAATTCATTTTCCTCCGAGAAACTACATTTCTGAGAATCCATTTTCTTATAGCATTTTCAAAACACCCTCTTTGTTCCAAGTAATTTCAAATACCTACCTCTGTCTTTTCCCCTTTGACGACCAAAATCCAACTAATATTACATTTACCCGTGTTTGGCCTGAACACAATGAAATTTCGCTTTAAACACCGGCAGCATACCTTTTGCAAGGATTAATATTATAATAAGATTTCTACAATGTTTTCAAAATTACATTTAGTATGATATTATAGTATAAATTATGATTTATGTTCAAAATTAAAATTTCCAGTTACAAAAATTGACTTTTATGGACATTTTTACATAGATTATATTAAATAATAACAAACCTATATGAATATAATTTAAAAAAAAAAAACACAAATTCAAGTACAATCATTATATAAAAATGTGTTGTGTGTGAGCTGGACCGGCTTGACTCAGATTTGGTACAAATACTCGGTTAGTCCAGAAGACGAATTTATAGAGGGGTTATTGATATGAATAAAATAAACGTATAGATTTAGACTAAAGTTCACCCTTAACTTGGCATTGTGTCTTTAAAGTTACATACTTGTATTATACCTATCATTTAAAAAATTGCTCTTGCAAAGTCAAAGATTGAGTTATACCTATTTTTAGGCTATACCTTTTAAAAATGTAATAGTATCATTTGCTTTGAGATCATCGACAAATGATTTTATCAACAAATGTAAATATAATTGATACATTTTGAGGTGCATAAAATATGAAATTTTTCATTTCGCTTACAGCAATTTTAGCTTGTTAGTTTTAAGTACACTAGTAAAACAGAAGTACAGGGTGGTACGATGTTGTCAATACCAAAACCCACCCTTCAAAACTTCCCTTCTGGGATTATAAAACAATTTAATTTCAAGTTAGTTAACATGCGGACAACATAACGAGTAGGCTGCGGAGGAACTAAGGGTTTAAATAATGTCCATAATTAAACGTAAAGGTTGACAATATCTACGTCCTGAGCTGAATTAGGTTTGGCTCTCTCTCTGGTGCTGTTGCTATTATTTGTCGGCTGCCAGCAAAACGTGCAGACAACGGCAGTGTCATGGTAACGACGGCGGGCGCATAGTGTAAACCTTGTATGTTTGTACAGCGAACAAAGGTCAATTCATACTCCGACTGTCCAATTGTGAAAAAATGCTGAAGTGGTGTGTTGTCGTGTTGATGACGTTCGTCCGGGTTGTCCAGCTAAAGGCCGATCCCTATTCGCTATACAATATAAGCGATGTGCCGCCATTGTGTGGCAGATGTGGATTAACCCAGGAACAAGTAGAGGCCGCGGAACAGCAGAGGTATAACAAACAAAATTCCAGGCAAACAAGTATTTACCATTTTTTTCGGGTACCCTCGTCCATCCCTAAAACGTGTAGGGAAATAATATTGAGTGTAATAGCGATTGAACTTGTCTCGTTTTAAAAGACTAAAGAAGAAGTGTGCGCCCAGTGACTTTTCTATACCTTACTACTTACAAACTACCTTACTACTACTGCCTGTACTTCACTGCCTGTCTACCCGTGTGATATTATCTCACTCGTGTGACGCGTTTGTTTTTCACAGCAACTGGTGTTGTACGAACGAGAAGGAGGTGTGCTCAAGCTTTGAGTGCATCGAGAAACAAGAGAAGCTGGTCGACTGTCTGGTATACGAAGAGACGGGCAACAAGCAACTAGAAAAACAGCTTGGTCTGGACGTGCAGGCGCTGCAGATCCAGCTGTATACTAGAACGGACGCCAAGGAGCGGGCGGTCAGCCATCTGTTTGATGTGATCAACGAGCTGAACAAGGGGCTGGGCAATTTTTACGAGCTGGTCCGGGCGTACGAGGCGACGGCGAGGCAAAGGGCCACACAGCGGACCGTGGTTACAGATAGGAAAGTGTGCTTTCTGAAAATCCGCCGGGAACTGTGCCGGGCCAAGGAAAAGCTGAATACGTACAAGCGCCTGGACGCCATGGTGGCGTTCAAGAAGAACCCGTTCAGCTTGCACGTGACCGGTTGCCAACCGTGCACAGACTGTCCGCCAGACGACGGCGGCCGCGGCGATTGCTGCCCTATAGCTCAAAAGCAGCCTTTGAGCACTGAGATGTCTAAGTCATGATTTTTATGTGTCTCATGTTGTTCCGTCATTTGTGTATATTGGACGGTACACTCCATAGCCTTAGACGCTGTATAATCTTGTTAAAACTGTTGTACTTAGTAGTTTATTCAAAATATATTATATGTACTATTATTATAATGTAACAGTGTAAAATAATTGAGTGCTTATCTTGGTGGGAGGTGGTTTAAGGGTTAGACAACTCGACATTTTTTTAGAGAGCCAGCAAATTAGCAATTCCGGTCAGGTAGTCGAATGTAGTTGCAAGTATTTAATTACTTTAATTGGGATCGAATGACAATTTTTAAACGGTTTTAATATTTAGTAATATAGGATATAGGAAGCGGTGTACAAGAGGTAGCTTGGGAGTTCAAGCAGTTAGTCGTCAACGGTTTTGTATCTTAAGCCCTTGCTTGTATTCAATACAGTGATACTCGTAATCCGTATAAAGAATACTGACTATTTTTTTTTACAAAATTTGAAACATAACACAGCAAAGTGAAGCTTACTAACAAGATAAAAACAAACGTTTAAAATAGTATTTATTAAAAATGCTAGCATTTTATTATATATTTAATAATATACATTTTCAGTGTTTGTAACTTTGTCAATATTTTCGTTAGCGTTCTTTCTTGAAAACATTTTTTTTTATATTATATATTTTAGACGAAAATATATACTTAATAAAACGACATGACACGGCAAGTATATTTACATTATATATTACGATATAAAAAAAAATAAGTTTTACATTTTATTTACCAAAAAAATATCCTGTGAAAAGTTATATTATTCGTGCGTCACAAAGGGCAGATAGAACCGGGCTGCTCTAGAGCCCAATTTCTTTGTTAGCTTGGTCGATGCCGGAATCATTTTTCAATTATTATTTAAATATAATAATTTATTCAGTTTTTTACAATATGTTAAGTATGTAAAATTCTTAAAAAGTTGGGCATGCCGTCAGCTTGGTCGATGCTTAGAGGATTAAGTTACCAAAATTGGCCATTCTATTAACTTAAAAAACACATCGTTTTATGTAAAAAGTCGTAAGGTGTTAGAACGGCCAATTATATCTTTGTGAATTTCGTTTTATTGTAGGTAATAATTTTTTTTTTATATTATGTTATTGATGTATACCTACATGTGTTTATATGTAGTCTTTTTGGGATTTATTTTATTAAGTAATACATTGTCTTGTCCAATATGTTATTTTATGTACAACTAAAGTTGTCTAATAATTAGTTGGTAGGGATATAATATCTCAGTTTGTTTAAGACAAATGATGTAGCTTCATTAATATATAAATACTATTATTATTGTAACTCATATTTATTCGATTTTTATTAAGCATGTCCTGCATGATAGGATGACTAAAAAAAAAATACATAAAAATTAAAATGTTATTCAATCCGCTCTGTACTACGATAAAAATATATACTTCCGGATTCCTACGGTCCGTACAAATATTTATTGTTTCCGGATTTCTACGGTCCGTGAAAATATTTTCCGGGACTTTACGGCCTCCCCCCAATAACTACCGTACCGGTTCACTTTGTTGTATAGTCACAGCTGAATGATTATTTTATTATTTATAGCTAAAATATAGATGCACATTTTAAGTTCTAAATAGAAAAATATCGATAAAAACAATGCACTTAATTACAAAAATGTATTTTTAGTATTAGGTTGGGCACGATTAGGGTTGATCGTTTGTCTAATGTCTATAATAATTTTTTACCATAGTTATCCGTATATTATCATAACAACAATATAATGAAAATGTTTTCAAATTCCTGTTGACTCATTCACACATAGCAACCTTATAGAAATTGACTACGGTCAGTGTTAATACAAATATAATTAGTATTGTTTTTTTTTTTATATAAACCTTTTATTATAATAATTTTGTCATAGTAACAAATAAATAGTATAGTTTTTCCTGGTCTTGAATTTGATTTCCTACAAATTGTCAACAAAGTCTAGAAACGCTCGACTCGGAAAATTATCATTAATTAAAAAAGTTTATAAAATATTTATATGTTGCCACCTGAGTTTCAAAAGCTGATAACAACTTGGAAAGTAGATGAAAAATAGAAGAAAATTCGCGAGAAGGATCGTTCGAAAAAACAATCGTAAGAAAAAATAAAGATTTTAAAAGTAAAGAAAAAAAAAATAAGATAAACAGCGCTATTTAATTAGAATTCATGTTAGGTACTAAAAACAATTATTAACCTGAAGTAAACCGAAAACTAAAGGTTGATTTAGTTAGTATATTATAGTTCTGCTTAAGTGTCATTATAACATAAATATGCTTTCAAGTTTAGAACAGTGAAATAGTTGTTGTTATACCCTTTACGCGAAAATTACTCATTGAAGGGCTCTTTATTGGTCATATATAGGTAGGTACACATGTCACATGTACACCATAAAATGGGTGACACGTGAGAGATTTTGGAACACGGGCTTGTAAATGTGCTATTGTAGCTTCACAGCCTTATCTCCCTCCGGCAGTTGTACACGCTATACCTACCTAATTTGTATAACATTGGAAGTTTATTAACAAATACGGCAAAACGATTGATATATATATATATATATGTATATTATATTATTAAAACTAAAAAATGCTTATTATGTTTCAAAGATTCAAAGTAAAACACACTGGGCAACATTCTTTTTGTCGCGCTTGGTGGCCGTTACGGCCGCCTCAAACACCTCCCGGACGCCTTCTCTAGACTTGGCCGAACACTCTAGGAACGCGAAAGCGCCAATCTCACTGGCCACTGCTTCGCCTTGCTCCTTCGTCAGAATCAGTTCTTTCGGCGAAACCGGACTGCCCCACACGATGGTGTGCACCTCGGCCGGTTCCTTCGCTTCGGCCGTGGATTTACCGCCGACAAACACCGGGCTATCGCCGGCCGCAGCCGTAGCGCCCGGTTTTTCGCCATCCGGTGCCGTCGTACCCGGTTTTTCGGCGTCGCTCTCTGCAGCTTCCGGCCGGCTCGCCTCGTGATCGCCGCTGTCTGACTCGGCCGTGGCTGCGACTGTTGGGGTTTCCCCGGACGACTGCTCAACTTTCGGCGGTGCCACCTCCGCCTCACCCGCGGCCGATAACTGATATCTCAAGTCCTTCTTATTGCCCACCAGTATTACGGGCACGTTGGGACAAAAGTAACTCACTTCGGGAGCCCACCGGTTCAGGACGTTAACCAGAGAACTGGGAGAGTCCACCGAATAACAAATGAGGACCACGTCGCTGCCGGGATACGACAGCGGACGCAGCCTGTCGTAGTCCTCTTGTCCCGCCGTGTCCCATAGCGCCAACCTGACCGTCTTGTTGGCCACCTCGATGTTGGTGACGAAGTTTTCGAACACGGTCGGCACGTAAACTTCAGGGAACTCGTCCTTGAAGAACACCAACAGCAGACTGGTCTTGCCGCTGGAACCGTCTCCCACTATAACGACTTTCTTCTGAATCACTGTATTGTTAGTCATTATATCTAAAACAAACGCCGTTAACAAACTGGGTAATTATTATATTTTTTAAGTTAAGATTTATACAATTTTTCAAAATAAAGGTGTTTGTTATTACTGATAATAATGAGTATTGTTGAATTGTTATACCAGTTATTAAAATTCGAATCTTTCTTTAAATTATTTTTTTTAAATCGTAATTTTTTTTACAAAATAATATCAAATTAATCTAGTCTACGTGAAAAAAACAAAAAAAAACATAGAATTAACTTAGTATCATTTATAAAAATGAATAACCTCAGGCTCCCATCTTTTCGCTAATTTTTTTTTCCATAGATTTGTTATGGTATAAAATAAACTAATATCATACAACCAACATTATATTAATTTTATGCGTTGTGTAATTATAAAATTGATTTTATGAATTCTACAAGAGTATTACATTATTCATGCGGCATAAAGTAATTTCCTGAAGGCTGAATATTTAAACCGAAAAGCCTAGTCGAAAGCACGGTCCATTTTTAAATCATATTTAGTCAACAATTACTCAGAAAAGTTATCTCGGACGTCTTAAACTCAACAAAATATTTTTCTTCAATTCTCTATAATATACTATGTTGAATATCATAAGCATATACATATATATTAACTTTATCCTGTCTTTGCTGTATAATACGATTTTATTTTAATGAACAATGTACATTTAAATTTTCATTATCTTTCTGATTTACCAAAATAAATTAACATTTTTCTAAAATGAAACGATTATTATAATTTTTTTTTTCGCACAGCAAATTTTTTTTATTAATGATAAAAACATTGTTTGGCAACTTTTTGCCCCGTGAAGTTATTTTTTGTTTGAGAAGATAAATGTTTGACAAAAACCCAATGTTCTCCGTTAGGTTGTCATTGACAGTGTATATCACTGTCAATAGACATACCAATTTGTATAACAAGTGTTTAACATTTTCACGGTCATCATATAGTTTCTATGACATTTTAATAAAAGCTAATTTGACTGTCAAGTAATTTTTAGCTATAGTAAATTTGTTGCCATTTTAAAACTAAAAAGCTAATATAATTATGTCCTGCTTACATAGGCATATAATCATTAATTAAACTACCAATAAAAAATAAATACAGTTATAAGGTTTAAGTTGATGAATTGTATTAAAATTAACACGGGCGGACAAATACAGAACGGCACACAATTATACATTTTACTAGATTCTTGTATTAATTGTTATAAATAAATGGGTATCTTTTTCAGTGCTTTCAAATATTGCAATAACCAGTTACTCAAAAACAATTTTAGTATAAACAATAATATTAATATCAAATTATAACGAAAACCAATGTATAACTATTATGTTATCATTCGAATCACAGTAGAAAGAATTCATAACTAGTACCGATGGTCGACCGTCTAAAATGTAAACTTATAATAAAAAATAAACTTACCCAAGTTCAGTTAATGAAAATGTCTTGATTATGAAATGCGCGACCATAAAATCGCGTAAAAAATTTAAAATTAAATGAAAATTTTACCACACAAAAAAAATTGTTGTATTTAATCTTTGTAATTAAACACTGTAACGCCGTCAGTGGACTTTTGACATAGATATACTACAATTTACATTAAAATGGTCTTTACACTGGGCTGTTTCATCGATGACCGCTGATTCATCAACAAATCGACAGTTTCCATCAAAGAAAAAAAGAAAATTGACTTTTATAGTTTATACTTAAAAACTTTGACAAATCCGTTAATTAAATTCAGTTTTTTACAATAACCTATCTAACCACTTCTTCGTCTAGTTCAGTGCGGTAAATGTTGTCGTTTATTAAAAAAAAAAAACAAAAGTAGATAAACAATATATATTCTACGTATAGTTATTAATTATTATATTTATCTGTGATTTCACCTTCGCTAAAGATTATTGACTTAACTGCCAAGATAAAAAAAACTGTGTCAACATTTTGATGTCTAATCAATGTTTTATAAAAATGTCCACACGATCCGACAGCTGTTTAGTTATAATAATTGAAATTAACGGTTAACAATCGATTAATTTTTTTTCGGGATTTCCCGGTTTTCGGCGTGAAACAGTTGACTTTTTCTAATTTTGACACAGCCCCTTCACTTGGCAAGGGCTAATTAAAAAATACCAATAACTAATATTATATTTTAGTGATATATTAGATGTATAATATTATAATGTATATAAAATGTTTGTATCATTAAAGATACAATGCCAAACTAAGAGTAAAAAACGTTTTTTTTTTTGTTATTGAAAGATCTTATTATCCTATTGTAATATTATGTGTATACAGTATGTATGTAAAACTTTTTGTTTTGAACTTCGATCATATACATAATAATATAATATTTTTGTTTTAAATATTTGTAAATTGTATTATAAAAAAACGTTCAATAAAACATATTTTGAAACATATCGATAAAAATGTAATTCTCATCTCGTAGAAATATGGTAGATATATTTACAGACATAATATAATATCATATTTGCAATGCCTACATTACTAAAACTGTAACATTGTAACGTTTTACTTACTAATATTTATAATATTTCTGTATTTTATCATCAGTTAATGTTCATCATGCAAGAATAATATATTTATTGTTATATTTTGTGTAAACATTTATGAACATTTATCGGAGGTTGTAACCGCTAATATTTCTAGTTTTGGCGATTGGCGAACTTTAAAAGCTACAAAAGTATTTATTAAATACCGATAACAAATACAAATATATTTACTAAGTTTAAAATATATTTTTGCATATCATTTTTAAAAAAAATACTCATTCGGAAATTTTAGTATAATATAGTGTTTAATTTAATGATTCGGAACAAGCAGTTAAATGTTTTGGTTTAATTTATTTTCTCTTTAAACTTTACTGGCAACATAACGTTTTGTACTGTAATATGATAGTAGGTATCACATAATTTTCTTAAACAAAACCATTAGCTATAGGTCCATTGTATTAAAGTATTAAAAAAAAATAACTTTATAAATCCATTATCCAACTAAAACCTGTATATTTTAACAAGTTCTGTATATATATAAATGTATATTTAAACGTTATTTAAATGTAATAAAGTGTAAATAATAAATATTTAGTATAACTGTAAGTTAGTTGACTATAATTGTTGTCAGAAAATCTTTATTAATAAATTTTAAAAAAATATTGTTTTAAATTACTATTTTTTCAAAACATCTATGATTACCCCTTATCTCCTTAAGTAACATAATATTTATTATTTTGACGACAAAACAAAACAACAGACTCGACAGTATTTACAATTTGTATTTATTTATATTTTATCGTTTAACGTTTTTATTACATTTCGCCGCTACCTATTTTGTCGGTTTAAAGAAAAAATGAGTTTTTCTTTAGTAAAAAAGAAATCAAAAATGCGCATTTTCAGTCCGTTTGCACACTTTGTTCGACAATGTCTTAATAGATTTTTATTGCTCGACAAAAGGGGCGAAACGAAAATAATAACATGTCAAAGTCGAATTCGTGGAAAAAACGTCAATACAGCTCTGCGCCTGTAGGTATAAAAAAAAAATATATATATATATATATACATTTGCACAGTTCGTACAGTTTACACCGCACTTGCCTCGGCACGAGATAAGAAGCGACGGGTGGTGAAAAGGAATTGTGTAGACTTGGGGTTCCTTGGCACCTCCCCCCTACCCTACTACCGTTCTCCGAGCTTCTAGTTTTCATGGTTGTTGTTGTTTTTTTTCTCACCGTTTAACCGCTCAATAACGTTTTCCCCGGGGGCGGCAACGGGACGCGCGCGCGAAACGATAATTTCACCGCCGTGACCCGTTGGCAACACTGCAGGGCGGCGGCGGGCGACGAATATTCCCAATGGCGGCGCGCGCCTGTTTGACAAGCGGGGCGAGAGAGGGGTACAGCAGCCCGGGTAAAAGTCAAAAGCCGGGCAAATCAATCCTGCCGGCCGGACCGAAAGCGACAGGTAAGTACGTCCGCGGCGACCCTCAAAATGGCCGCCGGCGTTTCGGTCGGGCGGCTGTGCGTTTCTTACGGGCAACAACGACGGCGGCCATGTCGCGGCCAATCCGAGTAACAATTATGGCCGACGTACTACCTACCTGTGGCACTTCTCCTGTGCGGAGACCCTTCGGCCGGAGTCGGTCAGGTGTCGGGGCTCAGTGAGTTTTCCTGATCACTGTTGCGCGGACGTCCCTTGCCTCTGCGTGCCGTGAACGCTGCAATAATTGAATATTACCGTTTTTCTGAAACTTTTTCGCTTGAGTCGGCCAGTTTTCATCGGGTCTGTTTCACCCGTATGTTTGTGTACGTCATGTCCGAAACAATGATCTTCAACGTGTTGAAAGAAATATTTTTATCGTACAAAGTGCTGCTCTACGGAAGTCCAACAATGGAAGGCGCGTTAATCGCCTTGACCGTGGTAATATTGAATTTCGTGCTGGTCTGCTGTATCGGCGGGCTAGTTTACTTGATTGTAAGCTACTTGAGCTGCTTGAAGGACCAGTACGACGATGCCACCAATGGGGACCACGATGCCGAAAATAACATTGAGTCCGAGTTCGACACCAGCTCGGATGTCACCGACGACGACGACGACGATGACGATGAATCCGATGAAGAATATAGGATTTACCTGGCCAACAAGCAGTTATACATGCAAAACAGCCCTTAAACCGTACTATGGAATCAACGCAATCGTCCCAGATCATCAACAACGGTCAAGTCCGGCCCGGATTCATTAGTATTAATCTTTAGTCTTACTTAACGAGTATAAAAAAATTTATATATTTAAATAAAATAGGTAGCTGGTAGTCAATTTTTGTCCGATGGCCATGCGGTTGGTTGAGCTCATTTTTAGTACTTCTGTTTGTTGTTTTATTCTTATACAACTATTCCAAAATAATACTAATACAAATGATACATAGCTAATAGAATAGCTATATAATATAGCTGGTTATAGGTATATAGAAGTATTTGCAAACAACAACTATTATACATAATATGTATTTATATAAATAGTAAAAATTACAGTTTTTTAATTAGCCTTCCATCGGTCGCGCGGGAAAAGTTTACTGATAAGTGTATGTTGATTTATTCTTAACACTTTCAAAGTCCAGATTAAAGTGACCAGAATGTTTTTAAAAATATTATCAAAGTAATAACTAACTTCTCTTAAAATATTTCGAGATAGTTTTCAATATCTTCTATAACGTTTCTGTTCATTATCATGGCAAAGTTTTTTAATTGAAGTGTTAAATTTAAAAAAAATATATACAAATTTAGCGTTTTGTTATTGTTTGTTGGTTTTGTTATGTCGTCGTTAATTGTGTTAAAGTAATCTTTACAGCCCTTATAGTCAATTATATTTTTTATTGTTATCTTTAGTCTATAGCTAAATTTCAATAGAGTTGTGATATTATTTATTTATTTTTAATTTTTTATGTTTGATTACCATTTTTGATATTTTATTTTTGTCTTGTAAATGTTTTAATTCTAACAATAATAATTATTTAATTTAATTACAAATTTTAATTTTAATTATTACACAATTTAACATTTATAAATATATTATAAGTTTTAACCAAATCTGGGCTATTTTGTTTTTTAAATAACAAGTATCATGCATAAAGTAAAGGATTGCTGGTAAAAATATTTTTATTTACTGTTTTTGATAATTTATATTCAGTTTAGGTCTTGAAATAATGTTTTACTTGTTGTATAATACATTTTTATTTCATGTATTATTTATTTGTCTGTTCCAAATGTTTTTTTTATTGTATAAAATTATCCTTTTGTGTCAACACAATCATATTATTATGCTAAATTAATTGCTCATAAATGTCAACTACTGTTAATTTTATTTCCTTAATATAATAAGTATGAAGTGTATTTTTATTTCAATAATCGCTCAGGTCATGTATCACAATGATAGTTTATACTTGTTAATATACTCATTTTTTAACATGTAATATGTTTTAAATAAGGTTTGGAAATATAGGGCTCGATTCTAATGTTCTACAATTATATTAGAAATATAATATATATATTATGTATCATGTACTTCAAATACTAATTCTATGTCAAATATATCTAACTTATAACAATAAATGTTTTTCAAAAGGTTTTATTTATTTTTCAATGTAGGTAAAACAACCGTCGAAAATAAGCCAAATGCCAATAATAGAATTAATCCCAAGGTATTAAAACATAAAGAACAATACTCGTATTTCATCACAACTTTTCTGTATTTGTAAAAAAAAAAAATACTGTTCATTATAATAAAAGACGCATGTTGGTAAACAATTAAATTTGAAAACGGTTAACACTTCATAAAAACTGAGTTTCACACATAAACAAAATATGATATTTCACTGAATTAATCGTCAACTATTTCCTATTTAAAATAATCAACAGCCGACGACCGTAGAGAAACACTAGATATTTGTTTTTTTTTTATTACAAAGGCGACAAAGTATTTACGACAAACGCTTATTCATTTTTTTAATCTAACCTTTTTATAATTTTTTCGTTTATTGTACACATTTTTACATACAATTATAATTATCAATTTTTATAATATATAATATTTATTATTTATAATACTAATGTATATGATCACAGCATACGTCAAATCAATCATGTTAAGTATATAATATGATGAACCTAATTTTTATTATCTTTCATTGTAATAATAATAATAATAATAAAAGAATACTTAACTATAATTTATTCGTCTTAAATTAAATTGTACAATACAAATTTGTTCAATGTACAGAGAATTATGTACAAAAGCAAAATAGCCTAAAACTATATACATACAATGTATACATATATTATGCTGAGTCGAGAATGTTAACACACAATACATGTATTTCGATTAAGAAAATTTAAATGAAAACATTTCTTAAAATAATAATAATTAAAAAAAAAATAGGAATTTTTTTTTTGTATAAACATAAAACAAAAGAGGAGGGGGAAAAAGATGCCAGATCTAATAAATAGCAATAATAATAATAAAAAAAATATGCGAATGCCACGTTTAATAAATTTTTCAATCGATAATCGCTATTTGTCATACACGACGGACTTTTTAAAACTTGAAATTAGCACTCGGCTAAATTATATAATAAAAATAAAACATTCACACATTTTAACAACTCAACCGACATTTACAACCATTTTCAACATAGACTTGTACATTTTTAATTATAATATACAACACACATCGCATGAACAAATCGTTATCGATAAAATCGATATTAAAATTATGGTTTACAGGTAAAAGAATAATTTTGATTTTCAACCTTTATATATATATATATATATATATATATATATATATATATATATATATGATTATACAAACACAAAAATGAGTAAAAATTTACATTTCATTTTTATGTTTACCTAAGAAGAAGAAAAAACAATTTTTACGTTGAATATAAAAAGCATCGTTTTAAGAACTGTCGCATGTGTTGTTTGGATTAATTGCGTGTGCTACCGCGTTACTACAAGTCATTTTTTTTCGGATTTTCTCTCAAGTAGTATAACCGGGATTTGTTCCAATTTATAATCACAACAAAGATTTCTTAATATTTTTCGGTTGTTTTTAAAGAGGAGGAGTATTGTTATTGTGCCAATGTCCGATGTCAATTGAATACACACACAGAATAACTGAACTCGACCAGTCTCAACTCTCAAAATCAGTCTCAACGAAATTATTTTTGAATACATTATATATTATTATTTATGTGTTAACATTCGTCGCGACGCGTTGGGTTGGAATTTAATTGAAAATAATAATAAAAATAAAAAAATTACTAGTATTTAGGAACAAATTTGTTGTTTATATTTTGTTACTATTGTGGCGTAAACATAATAAAAGCTAACATTTCTTTTTTTCTACTTTTAGACCGCTAAACCTTTTTTTCCCCTTAAACCAATAGGTTCGTTAAGATAATTATAAAAAAAAAATTACAAATATTTAGACGGACAAATAAATGAGATTTTCCATTATAAATAACGACAATTTTTAATACACGCTTACATTAGGAATACTGTTAACCGTATCTCGAAATAATATAGTATACTTTTTATTAAAAAATAACGTAATGTTTTGCGCCGACGACAAAGACCGACGGGAGTGTATACGAAAATTAAAATTAATTTACACTGCTGCGCAATCGAATATTGGTAACGTACGAAATACGTTTAATACTGCAATAATTACTTATATGTTAATTATTATTTTACACTTACTAGTCTATTTTATTATAATAACGACATAATTACACACTCCGATCGAGAGATAAATATTATAACAAACAATAATTAAGTAGTTTTTTTGATTATAAACAATATATAATATATGTATAAAACTAAAATACATAACACGCACATAGCTGCAGTATTTTAAACTAAAAAAAAATAAATAAAAAAAAAGGTGAAAATATTTGTCTCGGTTAAAAACCGTAACTATTTAAAAAAAAATATATATACATTTTTGTTGTCTATTAAAAACTGTTTGTAAGAAAATAGAACGGTTTGTTTAAGTCACTTTTTTCAAATCAATGTTTTTCTAACTAGTTTTATTATTAATTAGAAAATAAAGTCTCAAACAAACAATAGGTTCCGTTTTAAATTGACAACAATAATGTATATTACAATATTATTATTTTTTTTTAAATTCTCGGTTTTTATTTAACACAACGATTATGAGTAGGTTTATAACGTTAACCGTTAAAAGTCAATTTAAGTGTGGTGTTTAATTAATTGTTATAATGTTTTCAAAAAATATTGGTAAAATAAATAAATTTTCAAGGCGGAACCAAGCCGCCAATTTATTTGGTACAGATAAAAATATTGTTGTATGCAATTATTATTCAAAAATATAAATAATAATATAATTGTGTAATTACAAATAATAATTATATTGTTTTACCAATTTTAACAGTATTTTTCCATACAAAAATCTTTCAACAACAATTTTTTCTCGACAACGAGAAACACGAAAAAATTCACGTTAATCTAAACGTTTTGAAATTGATTTTTCTTACAATTTTTCATGGAATATAATAACAAATCATTGGTCAAAAATAAAATAAAAAATAAAAATGAGAATTGTACACCAAACTAAATAAATTAACTTTTAACCGAATTAAATATACTTTTTTAGTCATAATATGATTTTGTGAAATTTAAACTGAACACTTCTAAAATATTGATAAACTGATTATTACTCAACAAATCTCTACTACTAAAACGTAATGCTTTTGTTTAGATAAGACTAGATATTATAATTATTTTTCTTAGCGCTAACCTATCATCACGTATTGTTTCTAAAGAATAGTAATTGTTTAATAATTGTAAGTAGTTATTAGAAATTGGCTGGATATATTCTGATTTATTTTTATTAATTGACTACAATACAATATATGGCAAGTGTTGAGAGGCTGTAAAACAAAATCAAGACTATACCGAAAAAAATTAACTAGAAGAAAAAAAAAAAAACTACGATAGTTGTCATAGGATTATTAAATAAAAAAGAAATAAATGGAAAGAATTTTCTATAGAAAAAAAAAAAAATACTAATGATCATAAGTCTTAACAATGTCAATATATCAATACTACAAAAAGAATAAATAAGATATTTTGCAATTTCTCAACAATTGCAAAATTATTAATATATCAAAATAAATGTTTATCATCGATTTTGTATAAACTTTTAGAAAAGAAATGCTTAATTTTTTATTATTTTTTTTGTATGTATGTTTGTACCTACAGTTAATCTACAATAGTCTTAAGAAAAAAAATATGTCCTAGGTTTAGCAGTAAAAAAGTAAAGATTATTTACACTTAACAAACTGGGGCACAATGTATTATAGACGACGATTCAACATTCATACGTATAATGTTGTACCCCTTGCTGCGACGGGTAACCGTCGCTTTGGTCGGGCTGCAAATGGCACACGACCGTCTGACCGTCGAGCACTGCAATCGTTCTGGCCGTCTGCTCTTTGAGTTGCTGCCTGAACGCAGCGTTGAGTGCCGTGTGAAAATTGTGAGCGTCCGGGCTCTGCGGGGGAGCCATGATGAGCGGCCTGTGATCGCCGTAGCTTTTCGACGACTGTCGGCTCATGTCGCTGTTTCTTCGACCATCTTCGTCGCTCAAGTCGGACACAAGAGCGGCTTGTTCCCGCTCCCTCTCGCGCTCGCGTTCGATTTCTTCGTACACCGGGTCTTCGTGCCCGCCCGACGCCGATATGCCGCCCATTATTTCAGAATACGTGTGATTCCAAGGACTGGTGGCCCGCACGCCACTGACGCCGATGAAACCATCACCGATCGTGTTACACCGCAGCGAGCACATCTTGGGCACGCCGTGATTGTTGTGCACGTAAGTCGGTTGCTTCAGGCTAAAACATTTGTCCTGCACGTTCGTCTTGCTCTGCAACAGAGATGATAACACGGTAACATGAGCACACGATACACGGTCGAAATTTGTCACAATAAATAACTAGCTTAAAATATTCACCTGAGACGACGGTTTGTGAAGAGTGTTGCCGAACATGGTTTGTCCGGACGATTTGGGCAGTTTTGTTCGAGAGTAGTTCCTCTGGCAAGAACGAGTGTACGGCAACGTTCCGCCGCGGACAGCAGTTTGTTGATCGTTATTCGGTGAAGAACTGTCCAATTCGGGCACGTCTATTTCGTTTTGCACGGTAACTACTTTGCTGCCGATCGTGTGCTTGTCGTGAGGCGGATGATGGAACGTCTGTGAAGAACACAAGAAATTTTACATTAAAAATGATTCCAAATTGAAAATAGTCATGGTGGTTGTTGACGACATACGTTCATCCTGTGCGAAGACAAGGAGCGCGGCGTCGAACATTCGGCGATGCTTCCTTGACTGTTTTGGCCGACCGAAGTGCCGTACAGGCTGGTTCTCTGATTTTTATAATTTAAATTCAATTCCGGTGTAGAATTTATCAGGCAGCATCGCCACGGCAAAAAGGAAATCAGCGTGAACTCGGAAAACACCTTATAAACCTGCAAACAATTCGTCTTGTTTTATAATGTGAAGCTTATTTATTTAATAGGCTAAAGTTACCAAGACACAAAAAAAAAATTTCAACTTAAAAGCAATGGAATTTGACATAAGTGAACTCACCGAATTGTTTTTTATGCAGTAGAGCAAAATTATAATTAACCCTTGTGAACAGTTGACGGCGGAAAATATGTACAGCCTAAAAGTGGAGTATGACGTCACGTAAAGGAATGCTAGTGTCCAAGTCAGCGTAATAAAAATCAACAACAAAATTGCACTTCTCAACCACATCCTGAAAATGACAACAATTAACATAGTACATAGTAGAAATATTGCAATTTAATGTTAATAACGACGACAAAACTTACTTCAAAGAAGTTATCTTAACGTTTTCTTTGCATTTGACAGACATCATAGAGGAATTACTTCTAATTATATACAAAGATAGACATAAAAGGACTAGATTTACCTGCGAAAAAAAAAACAAATTTGATATTTAACAATGTTATAAAACAATGTTGGGGGAGTGGGGATATCTTAGTTTCAACAGACACTTACAGAAACAATAAATATAATACTGTATACAATAACGTTATTCGGCTGAAGACAATAATAATTATTCGAACTGTAGACGTGAGGATCTAAGTAACAAGCCACCATAACAATACCCAACGGGATTCCGTAACCAAACAAATAATACAGACGCATTTGCAGTATTTCCGAGTTGAACACTTCGATTAATGTAGCATACAAGTGGAATCCTGAAATTGATAATTATTAATTGTTAAACAGAAAACAGCTTTGTAGTAATTCTTCTAAAGTATAATTTAAACAAATTTTTTAAATTTAATATCCATTTGAAAACGTACCTTCAATGAACGTCCACGTAAACGAACACAACAACGAAATGTGTAATAATGTCGCTATTATGGTGCACGTAAACACGGCTTTTTCCTGGGTCATGCTGAACATGAAAAAGCATTCGACCAAGAATAGGCACAAAAATAAATTTTTCAAGATAACCGTACGATTCGACTGCAAGACAACAAAAACATAATATTAATTATAAAAATCCACTTCTCATTATAAACGTTATCATTACCTTGACGGTAAATTGAAGAGTGATCGCCGCCAAAAGGAAACAAACGCCGGAAAATATACAACTTATGTACACCAGCAGATTGTTGGAAGTTATACTCGACGGCGTGGGCACAGAATTTTTCAGGTCCATCAGTATGGCGAAATTTGTCAGATGATTACACTGACATAATGTATGTGTCTGATTGGTGTATATCACAGAACAACCTTCTTCCGACCATCCGCTAGAAAGATAAAAGAATACAAATGTAAGAACAAAACCGTATTGTTATCAATCGTTTGTCTAGGGACAACGCCTTAGCGGTCGTCTTACTTTTCTGTGTAATCCCAAAAAACGCAAGTCGGATTGCTAACGTTGTCGATTTGCAAATGCTGGAAACACAACGTCACCGGCTGATGCAGCTGTATATGTTTTCCTTTGCCTAACGAGGCCGATACGATTTTACTGTTGATGATGCGCACGCCATTTGCCGACTGAGGTTGGAGTATGTTTTCCAGACTGTCGAAAGCAATGTACACCAATCGTATGAATCCGGCCTCGCTGTTCTCGAGCAGCGCCGACTTTTGCAATTGTAACCATGTGTTGTTCATGAAGAACTCGTTGTTCGACGAGTACGGTATGGGAAAAACTTCGGTGTCCACATTTTGTGTCGAGATAACACGGACGCTGAGTACTGAAATATTAAGATGTCATTTATAAGGTGTCTTAAAAAAAAAAAAAAATGCCGTTGTCAGCACAACTCACAAATATTTTTAACGCTGTGCGTGATTGTCTTTTCTTTCATCATGATGTCGGCGAGGAGAAACGAGTTCTCCTCCAATCCTATCAATAGGTTTGTGGCGACCCGCATTTGCTCGTTGAACGTCAGATCTCTCCACGACGGATACTGCGTTGCGTTAAGCAAATTACTGCCTATTCGCACTACGCATTGCAACAAATCGGTGACCATGGCTTCTAGCTGTTGCTTGTCGGGAAACGTGACCATAATGTCTCTTTCCATTTTTTGAGCGACGTCTCTAATGATTTTCGTAGTCGTCATCATGTCGCCACCGTACAACGATTTACTGTCGGTCACCTGAATTAAAAAGAAAAAAAAAACCATTATTATTTTGAAAACAAATTTTCAAACGATTGGGGTGTTTGTTACCAAATTTAAAAATAATTGCCCAACACACAAGTTTTGCTTACCTGAGAAAGGTCATTTGCAATGCTGATAATAGAATCTCCTTGAAAAAGTCTACTTTCCAGGCTCGACAGCCACACTGAACGACACTCGGACAGGTCTGGCGTAGGAGGTATTCTGATCGGTATGCCGGCAATCAGACTTTGACAACGCCATCTATAAAACAAAATAAAAATAAAAATGTAATATTAAAGTATAAATACAGCTACGAGTTTTGAATAATACTTAAAAACTTTTTAATTAAGTATTTGAGGTTGAAAATATTTAATACAAATACATACAGTAAAAATATTTTTAAAAAAAAACACCAATCAAATTCAAAAGGACTATTTAAAAATTGTTTAATTTTTAATAGTTATAACGGTCAATATTGATGTGGTTAAAAATTTAAGGTCATTCATTAAAGTTTAACAGATTGCTATTTAATATACATTTTAGGCGTTGATCATTTAATTTAAACAATTCTTTATCTAAATAGTATCATGAGTAATACTTTTCTCTCTTCGTGATCATTTGTTACGGTTAAATGTTTTATTCTATTTAATCCTAAAATATAATGTTTGTCTTCTTTCTAAACTTTGAGGTGGTTTACACCAGAAAGTTGCTGTTCAAATTTGTTCTATTAAAACAGGTAAAATTAGATATGTACTAAATTATTATATTTAAATCTATTATAGTTTATCTTATATCTAAAAAAAAATATTTAAAAAAAAAGGTGACTAAATTGGTTAATATTTAATTCTAATGCTTATATGCAAATATTATTATTGATTAATTAGTGATTTGATGTAGATTAAACTAATATGTACACAATGTTGAAAAATATTGTAAAATAACATTATACTATATTAGTTTTAAATTAATGGTAATATGATAATAATTTTCTTAGCCCTTACTCATTTCAAATGAAGAAAAACCAAACATTTTAACATTATTAGGTAGGTACTTATGTAACTATTATATAAATACAGTTTTAATGGTTAATAACCGTTGTTGCCCATGCTTTATACCAATAAAAAATTGTTTTTTAAATATAACTTTGTTGTAAAAGAAATAAATTCAAATACACCTATAAATAACTAAGTATTATAAAAATATTTTCTTAAATCAAATAAACACAGTTTGGTACAAAAAAAGTGGGTTGGTTTTTATTTTTCCTGGTTGCCAATTAAAATAGGTTTAAAAAAATACCAAATTATTTAGATACAAGTATTTATTTACAAAAAGGTTAAAAAAATGCTTTCATTTAAAGTATGTTTAAATACATTGACTAATAAAAATATGTTAACTCCATTACTTTCATATAACAACTGTAAGTAGGACATTTAAAAAGAATGTGGTGCAACAAATAAATGTGTAAACAAAAATAATATCAACTTAATCAGCAGAAAAAAATGCTACTCATAAAAACAACATTTTTATTTATTCTGCTGAAGCTAGTTCTGTCGAAAGTCCACTAAAAACAATCAAACATTATTTCTTGTGTATTTTACTTTGTGTTTAGTATTGTGTAACTTTTGACTAACTGATTAAACTTATTAGAGTAGGCAATAACCAGATATTTATTTTTGGGTACACATATAACCAATAAAATCCATATTTTTAAATGTCTTCAAACATTTGCTAGTCGTAAATGAGAAAAAAATACCCTTAGGTTGGGTATTTTTAGTTGACTGATTTTTATAGCGTTATTTCGTTGTATATGTAAATTAATTGTAAAAAGAAGAACTGATAGATGTTCAGTATTGTATTTGTTTTTACTTTTCCAAAGAAAAAAACATTGAAATTTAAGCCGAGATGGAAAACTCTTTTAAAAAAATGGGTACAAAAGGAATAAATGAAAAAAAAAATCAAGTTTTAGTTCTACTCCCAATTGTAAGTTTTATTTCTAAAGAGATGAAAAGAAGGTTTTTAAATAAGTTAAAGTCCACCAAATACTTTGTTTGAGAACTTTTAAAAAAATGTTCCTGTGAAATAATATTACAACTATCAAATCCTCGTGGGACTACCTCTGTATACAATAGGCAAACACATGATCTAAACTAAGTAAAGCTTCAGAAAATTTTAAAAACAGAGCACAAAAAATATTATTTTTAAATTACAGACTACAACTTTTTCAACTAAACTTTTCAAATAAAAGTTCATACAACATTGTTAGAACAACAACTAGGTATTTATTTCTTCAAAATTGTTATTTTTAGATTATAGTAAATGAAGTTCTAATGGATAAAAACTAATTTTATTTTATTTTATAAAAACTTGGCAAAAATGATTATTTATAGAAACTGTAAAAGAAAGCAATATTTTATAAATAAAATGTAAACGAAACAATTAAAAACATTTCTAGCGTTTTAATGTTGAGGTGTTTGTTCTATTATTATCGGTAGTATTTTATTTAGGTTTCATTAACTCACCTAGCAACACCAGCGGCACCGCCAGGACAAGCTTGCACCGCCTCTTCGCCGGCTTTAGTCCAATTCCAGAATAGACTTCTCGACGTTTCAGGAGGACAAGACAACGATAGTCTGTCGTCCATTCCTTCAACATCGATAATACTCAATTGGGGCGGTAAGTCACTAGTCGGCGAACTCCATTCGGTCGTAACTGAAACTAAAATTTAAAAAAATATATTTAATATTTTAAGAAGAAAATTGTTGCCGTGTTAACAAAATAATTACTTGACGGTAAATTCTGTTCTCCTTCGGTAATAGAGTTGTTATGACTTATGGATAATTCCGACGTCGCCACAGTACTGGTTGTAGTCGATGAAACCGATGATACATGTTCTTCTTCTACGTTGGAACCGCCGTGGTCGTCCAATTGTGGAGATGACAAAACTGGCGGGATCGGCGTAGCGGGTTTGAGGGTCAACAACTTGTCGGCATTCCAAACACTGGGTTGCGACGTTATTAACCACGGTGGATTAGGTCTTACGGTTGTTGTCGACAGCGATGCTAAAATCAAAATTAAATGTATATTTAAGAGTAGAATTTCATTTTGGTCATCAGTCGTGTTTAATAATTACCCGGAATACAATGATATTGAGCTTCGAGATATTTCATCGTGCCGGGACACGGATCGGAGAACAAACCGGTGTTGGCTTGAATACTGCAATTCCTTTTTTCGTTGCATCTGTAAAATTGTTTTTAAAAAAATGTTAAAATTTGATTATAAAAAAATTGAAAAAAAATGAATTGCTTTTCATGCATAGCTAGATATTATAATTGTTTGTATCGTATTACTTGGCTTGCAACAGAGGTAAAGTGTTAGTGGACATACAGTTGACACTCCAATCCGTGTTACCGTGGTCGTTACATACTGTAATAGAATATCGACCGTAAATGGCCCGGTCCAAATGAATGATTTCGCCTTCTCTACATTCCAGTTTGAGGTATTTTCCTTCACAAGCGTAGACCGTATCATATCGGTTGGTATCTAATAATGCAATGCAAATGTTAATAAAACACAAACTACACAAGTAGGTATATGTTCTGTAGTTTCAATGGCTACAACATAAACCTATCATACCTTTGGCTAAGGCGACGGGTAACAAAACAGTCAACAAGAATACTAGTTTTACATTTGCACTGTTCAATCTTGCCATCTCCTACGAGCCAAGCTGAAAACAAAAGTAAAAACATTAAGTTATAGAAGTTAAATTCTGAATTTTCTCAACAATAAATCGTTATTACAAAAAAAAAAAAAAAACATAATTATATTTGGAAAGAAGCAAAAGAGGGAGAAGGCTAAAATACAGTAAGTTACAGAGATATGTAACTAATAACTAATAAGATAGTTCCCAAAATCATTATCGGCATATTATAATCCGCCCTGAAACGAATTCACCAAGATGACACATAATGGCAGAGCGTTGGGACTCACGCCTTTATGTAACTTTAGCTAGATAAAAAAAAACCAATTGTCTTTCAATAAAATATTAAATATCCTATTATTAATATTAATATTATCTACTTATTAATGCATACAACACAGATTAATATGCACAATACATGTATAAAAAATATAATTTTTAAATGTATTCATCACCTAAAAAGTATAACAAAAATTAATAATTTACGCATCATGTATTTCTTTTAAAAATTTAACATTACATAACAACAAATATTGTGACTTTTCTTTTTAATTTTTTGCTTGAACTGAGAGTATTTATTTTTTTAACAACGATGTGTTTAGTTTTTATAATTTTTGTTGACCGCAAAATTTCATCCCTTCCTCTCAAAATCAAGAAAAACACCGTAAAATGTGATTTCAACACATCACTCAACTTAAAATTACAGCAAGCTATAAGATTTAAAAAAATTTCCGAATTTGTGTCACAAACTTGTGTTTGAAATTCTTAAAATACACCTGAAAATTTCATTAACTTTTTCTTTTGGGAGGGATGGTTACATCTTCTTTATTTTACTTTTTTAAGCGTAGATTTAGGACTCGAGTATGAAAATTAGGCGTAAGGAATCTAGTATAGACCTATAATATTAATTTACAGTAAGATAAATTTTTTTTTTTAATTTTAGTATATTTGTTTTTTTTTATTAAAAGTAATAAAATTTTAACCTTATCTATCAAAATGTTCAATAAACTATTCAAGCTTCCAAAAAAAAGAAAATGTTAAAAACTTGTAATAGACATCAATTTTTTTATAAGAGAAAGCATAAAAAATCATACAACTAGTACTATAAGTTGTCTGTAAAATTATTTAAATTTAAATTAAATAGTTTTTACCATCCACAGTTTTATTAATTTTGTTTGTTTTAACTATTTATAAGTATAAATAAAAAAAGTATTAAAAGTATTAGATTTTTTTTTTATTTCAGTTAATTTGTTTACTTTATTTGTTGACATTAAATAGGTATTTATAATAAAAGCATCGTTGATATAATAAAGGTAATAAACCTACTTATACAATTACAAAATGTATTATAACTAAATTTCGGAAGATACAGTATTTTGGAATTTAATATTCAAATAAAAATAGTTAACTGATCAATGAAAAATAAAATAACCAGTATTTTATACTGGTTCATTGCTTTATCAAAAAACAAAATCTTATGGTACATTTTTTCAAAGTACTAATAGTTTAGAGATATACAAGTGACCTTTACGAAGGCAATAACCTTACTAACTTCCTATTTTATAAAGACCCACTTCGTTCTTGAAGAAATTCGAACCCATTAATATCACTCCAACAATACCTCATCAAATTACATTTTTGAAATCTTAAACAATGTCAATTACCTTGTTCGTCCTTTGAAGGTTTAGAATGTCAAGTTACCTTTTTGTTATTTAATTTAAATCATTTTATATATGATACTTTTTCTTAACTTAAACTTTGATTTTAATTAATTTGAAACAGATAAAAGAAAAAGTAGCTTTACTCAGCCTTGTAAAAATATCTCAAAAAATAAAAAATTCTTGCAACTTATGAAATTAACTTTGATTTTGGATAAAATGTATTAAAATATGCATTTAAAAATATCAAAATATGCAATCATATACGTCTTTATTGAAATTGGTTAAATATTTGTATAGCAGAGTTTTCAAATAGCCGACTTGACATGATATAAATATTATTTTACGATGATTAATTATTTAAAAAAGTATTATACGCATAAGGATAACATTGAGTTACTATTATTTTGGTGATGGTTTCAAATTTAAAAGAACAATGATGGTTATTTTAGAAATCTTGGACAATAGTTTATAACAATAATTTTCGTTTATTTCTTTTCTCATATTGTGAGTAATTTTCTTTAGCTCATACTCATAAACACAACTAAAGATAATAATAAAATGAAATATTTTAAATAATAATTATACCTAACTATACTTACAAATATCCTACTAAATCTAGAAATAATCATTAAAGGCATATATATATGCTCAAAAGTGTCAAATATGCAAATATGTACAATAAGTTTGCTATTTGAAATTTAATTATTGTAAATCAAATTTATTTCATATTTGGGTTTAATTTTGATTTTACTAAAAAAGTATGCTAATACATAAACATCCGAGCTTTAGTTATAAGTAACTACTTTAACTTATGAAAACCTAACTTCGATTTCTAAAGGAACTAGAATCGAAATTTTACAAAAAAATGTTACAGAAAATACTTAAGTTATAACATTTATGGATCACGAAAATATTAACAATATGTGTAAATATTTTAAACTAAAGAATAATACAATTTTTTTTTGGATTTTTTATTTCTCAATTTCGTAGGAAGATTGGTGAGCTTTTTTAAATATTGGCCTAGCAAAGTAAATTTTTTATTTTTTTTAAATAAAATTAAAATCCATTGTAAAACCGATACCTCATAAATTTTGCATCGAAGCTAAGAATTATCTACAAATTTAAAAGGCCCGACAAAGTTATTTTACTCAAGTTTTAGTGAATAAAAAAAAATTAATAATAATAGATTGTTTTAATAATTTCAGTATTTAATTAAAATAAGAAACTTCTTCTTATGCGAACGATATACAGAAAAATGAATTTGTTAAGTATTTTTTGTAACACAGTTTTTCTGGGAAGTTTTCATTATGTAGATTAAGTACATCAAAATAAAAAATGATTGGATTTTTAAAATAACATTGAGTGTAAACAAGAATAATTTGTATTGTTTACATTATTTTGTAGTTGAAAATAATCCAATTATTTCAGACGTTTTAAATAAATTACATTTTTACAAATGTTCTGAAGAAACCAATTACACAGCTAAAAGTATTAAAATGGAAGAATTCACTTCTATAGTTATATGCAAAGCAGAAATAAAATGCGCGATAAAATAATTAAAAATACAATTGAGGCACTTAATTAGAACAAAAGCCCATTGTGCTTTTTTTTGCAAAATGAAATTTTTTTTAAAAAGTTTCTTTTTTTATTTGATATTGCGGTAGATATTGGCCCAGAATTCATACCAAAATATACTGCTGTAATAAGAAAACATAATATTCTAGAAAAAGGGCCTAAAAGTGTTTAACTGTGATTAAAACAGTCTTACAAAGTAAAACATTGTGGTAACTACTTTTAAATGTTGTAATATTCTCAAATTTAATATTGTTTTTATAGGACACTTTTATTTTGGTTTATTTTAAGCACAGTAATATAATGTTGTGCAAGAAATTCGAAAAAAAATGTTACATTTTATATACAGAAAATAAGTGTTTTTATTTTTATTAAATAAATATAAACTTTCAATTTAAAAAATATTGATTAGAACCAAAGCCCAATTTTCCAACTTTTGAAAAAGTCCTTAGGCTTATTTAAAATTAAAAATGAATACTTTATAAATTAAATCAACCCATTAAACGGTAATAAATTAGGCAATATTATAAAATTTTCGTTATAAAAAATAGTTTTTTGTCTCCTGAAAAAATCCAAAATTTGAAATTGGGCCCTTATTCTAACAAGTGCCTCAATTTCAATAATGCATTTATTGTCATTAAAAAATCTTATAGGTATACCTTAATTGAAATGATTTAAATATATATTTATTTCGGTTTTTCAACAGATTTATTTAATACCAATAAAAATGTTTCCATGAAAGATGATAAATATCATTAAGAGGACGTCACACACCCGTTATTTTCTACAAAAAATCCGCCTTGCGCAGATTAATTTTACAAAGGCTACAATCAAAACTAAGAAATCAAGTTTTTACATAATATAGACAACAACATTGTCTGTGTTCCACCATCGCTTTTTTTTTAATATTTCAACCAGTGAATGAATAATTAATTAATTAAGAAAGGGCTTTTTTGACTTTATTAAAAATGATATAGCATTGGTTGTATTAAGTATGTCGAAAAAATATGGATGATGGTACACACATAATTTTGTCATAAATAATATGTAAGAATTTCTTTCCTTAACTATATATGAAGCCTGAGAAAAATTAATCTGCGCAAAGCAGTTTTGATGGGAAAAAAATAGTAATTTATCCTATAGACATGACTATGATAGTCTGACAAAAAAATGGCAATCAACAAAGTACTATCATTACTGTATTAATACATTATAGTACAAACTCTAAATTAAGATTTTTCGAAAAATTGCCTATACTTTACTCCTTAGAAATGGCCGGTGTGGCGTCCTCTTAAATTTACTTTATAAAAATTATTAAATAATAAATAAGTTCAAAAGCTTAACCCGATTTCATCAGTTCCAAGTTAAGTATGACCATTTTTGTGACATCTAATTCCAAAATGAAATTGATTTTTATGGTAATATTTTTCTTTTTTTTAAATTTATGGTATGAAAGCTTGATAGAAAATAAACTCGTTAAAAGTGTAAAAGGGAAACAAATTCTAAATTTAATTAATAATTAAATTTAGGTAATTTAAAAAATATATAATGTGAAAATTAGGTGATAGGTACTATAAATATTATCTTTAAACACAAATATTTACTTAAATATCAGTTAAAATATTATTTTTAATTTAACTACATTAACTAAACAGTAAATACATTAATTATTTTATAATTATTGTTATATTACCAATTTTAAATCGGTTGTACTTGCTTTTATTTATTTTTCCTTTTTTTTAATTTCACAATACAGATTTTTAGGTCAGTCCAAAACTGCATTGGACATTTTCCACCAAAAGCATTTTTTTCTTTTTTACTTTTTAACTTTCTTCTCAAACCTTAACAATACAGTTTCTATCACGTCTGCACCAGTTTATTTTACTAACATTTCACAATTTCAATAAAACGTATGTAGCTCTTGACTACTTGTTCCTACAATATTAAAAAAGTTTTCCACGCATTTCTGCTCTATCTGTTTTGTTACCAAACTCATTAAACATTAAACAGGTCAGCTATAAAAACCTAATATTACATTCCATCTACTTTACTCCGAAACATTTTCCTCACTACGGTCGCAGCTCAGCTTATAACATTTTCGCATTCCCAAGTCCTACTCATAAAACTGAAAAAACTTAATTATTTACAATAACACAAGTAATGGTATTTACGGAAACGACTCAATACATTTATCTATATCTGCACTCATCCAAAACAATAAAACTAATCCATACAAGTAGCAGATATAGAAACAAGTATCTGAGCTGAACTGTATTTAATTTATTACTTAAACACTTTCTAAGTTAATGGCTTTTAAATTATATGCACGGAAGAGGTGGTCTCATTAAAAACACATAACAATTGCTATTAACTGACCAGCAAAAGGAATGCACATTAAGTTTTAATACCTTCAAGAGAAGCATAAAATATAGGTTATTTGTTTTTTTCAAGTAATAATATGTGTTCTAACACTTACATACAACAATAGTAATTTAGTTCTCATCATACAGTTTGAAGTTTTTTGACAAAGCGTAGGTGAGATTTGGAAACAAAAGCTTAAACATTTTAATTAGATGCAAACAAAAATTGTCTCGTAATTTTTTAGCCTAGAAAATTTCAATTGGAACATTCTCGATGCGAATAAGAGTACTTTAGGGAAGTCAGTGCTACTCGTCAGTACTTGGAACGGAGTAGAACATATTTAAAAGTTTTAACCATGTAATTTCAGTGAATTAGATTCTTTTAGACATTTTTTTACATTTTATCTCTACAATAATTATGTGTGAAGAAGAATAGCCTAGATTTGTATTCAGAAAAAAAAAACAGGTTGAAAATTTCAATCAAATAATTAATTAATCAATTAATTGTTGAGTATTTGTTTAAATATCTGAACAGGGCAAGTTTAAAGTTAATAAAAGTTTATAAGAGCAAGTAATTGATTTCATAAATATCATTAAAAAAAATCTGTTTTTTTTCTGAATTATTTATTTTTATTTTTAAAGAAATTTTGTCAAAAAATCTATCGAATATTGTTATGCATTAATGTGAAATTCAATTGTACTAGTTTGACTTAGTGTTTCAATCAAAATAATTAAATTTAATTTAACTACCTATTACAATACAATTATATTGTATAAAACATAAATTAAATGAATTATCATTTGGAGAATAAATTATTCAAATTTGAAAAGTAATTCTTCTTTTTCGTCTTATCCGGTACATATACCAGTATGGTTATTTTACATAAAATAGACATTTATATTTAAACATGTTTTTTCTAATGCAAATATTTCCTATTTAAATGATACATTACAAGCATTGAACTGTATAATATTTTTGTAATCTGAATTTGTGGTCCTATTGTTAGTGACAGCTTTGTATCTTCTAATCTAAAAAGAGTTTAATCCACGTTTCTCGTAATATGTTTAATAGTCTATAGAATAAACTTTAAAAAGGCTATTTAATTTATGTAACTTGTGGAAAATTATAATCTATTCACTTGATTGTTAAATATTTAACTTAATAAGTGTGAACCACAAAATAATAATATGAATAAATAATTCATAAAAATGTATTGCAATTAAAATTGTTTAACATTATTAACTTATATACACCAAAATGAAGGTTAAATTATAGAAAAATCAAATACTTGATTGAAGAGATTTCATCAAAATTTTTTTGTTTTTTATGTTGCAGTTTTGCAATGATTTGACTTTAATTAATCATATCAATAAGACGTACCTATGGGTTTGACTACGACTTTATTACAAGAAAACAGTTATATCTAATTTCAGCTCTTACATAACGTTTTCATTTTAAGGTGAAAATAGGTTTATAAAGTGCATCACATTTTGGCTCTTGCTTAATAGCATAAATCATATAATCGGTACATACATTACCTTAAAAAATACATAATCCTATTTGACAACGGCACCCTGTCAACGTGTAGAGATAGTTTTCTTACAAACACCACGTAGGTATATTCAATATTAACTTTGGAACAATTGGACGTGGAACTGATCGAAAGGACAAGCGTTGGATTGGAATTGTACAAACAACAAGTATAACCAAACAACGTAGCGGCCAAACGGATTGTGCCGTACGCAAAACCAAGTATTCGTAGTTGTTGCACTTACCTATTTTTATTCGCTATAACAATGCGTTCCGCTGTAAGTCCATATCGTGCGGGCTGTGTTGTTTCGTTGGAGCCGTAACGCTCAGAACAGACGGTGCATGCCTGGGCCACGGTTATCGCACTGACGGTACGCGCGGGCGAGCTTTTGGCACGGAAGACGCACCTCAGCACTGGTGGACGTTTTTGTGATAACAATTACACATTGCGGCGGCAGCACACACAAAGAAGTCGTCCCGTCGCGACGGGTCTGCGACGGCAAAACGGCAATCCGAGTGCGTGCAAAAGAACGTGGCGGCTTCACACGGCGACGGACTTGACGCCGACATTTATAAAGGGAAATTTCCAAAAAAAAAAAAATACCCAAGTACAACGCTATGTACTTAATATGTTATTTTCAAAAAAACGCATTAGACTCGCACAACAGAAACGCGCTATCGTACGCCTCGTGCGCTCGCTGATACACCACTGTCCACTGTCTGTCTGTCGCGGGTGGCACGGCGGCGGCCGATCACAATGGTGCGCGGTGCGGTAACCTGCCCGGTGTACGCCGCAATGTTTTTGTTTTTTTTTTTTGTTTTTACGATTTCAAATGATCGTCACTCGCGTTATCGTCACCGCGGCGTCACGCATATTATAATTATTAATCAATATCAATATTGTTATTATTACCGAAAAAAACGACGAGCACCGTCAACGTCGATCGGTGTTGTTGTTATTGTTTTGTCGAACCGAACAATTTTCAGCAAGCGACGTACGCATCTCGTGCACGCACACACATACACATTATACACGCACACACACACACACACACAAAAAAAATATATATATATATTATAAATTATTATTATTATACATGTATATATATATATATATAATGAATACTGCGGCGGCGGCGGCTGTGACTGTTCGGAACGCCAAAGCGCTGGGCGAGAAGAAGTGCTGCGGCGGCGGCGGCTGGTGCCTGCTCGATGGTGGGAGTGACGGCGGCTGCGGCAGTGCGGTATTCTCTCCCCACTCGACGCACGTATGAGCGCGAGTGTGTGTGTGTGTATAATAATGGTAATGATAATAATATGGTGCGTCGCGGCCCAAGCTACGGTGTGTGTGTAATGCGAGCGACAAGGACCGACAGAGCGAGCCAGTTTTGGGGGGGGGGGGGTGGAGGGGCTGGAAGAAAAACGTCTGGAAAGAAAGGAATAAAAAAACCGTACCGTATACGCGCACACGCAGCGGTGCCTATGCTATAATATTATAACTATATACCTACTAGCTCCGTGTGCGCGTACCAGCAATATAATTATTAACAGTGTGTGTGTGTACATGCACTGCGCCGATGACGCGCTTGGAGGTGGTACCGCCGGTGGAGGTTAAACAACGCGGTCGGTTTTGGACGGGCCGCGTACAAGGCTCCCGTACCGCGGCAACTGGCACGGCCGCCGCCCACGACACTCGGCCGCGCGTCCAGAGTACCTCCAGAGCCCGTCTCTGCGGTGTGCCGTGTGGTCGCCGTATTTAAAAATTCCGAAAAACATATATTATTCACTACGGTCCACGAGCGGATGGCCCCGCCGGAAATTCAGGGATTTCCCGGTAGGTCATCGGCAATAATGATACAATATTAACGGGTCCGCCCGCAATCCGAGGACGCTTAAAATCGAGATTTTCCCGGTAGGCTATCGTCAATAATATATTAACTGGCCCGCCCACGGTCCGGCGGCCCGAGACGTTATATTATTAAAACCATTTATTTTTAATTTAATCATTAAACGTACAATATATCATACTAGCCGGTATGGCAAACCTTCTAGTAATCAGAACGTCGGGGCCTTTGTGGTATTAGAATAATTAGATACTAAAAAAATATAGAACGCTCGGACAGCGCTCGGCCCTTTTAGACGTTTAAAATCCGAGCCGAGGGCCCCTTGGGCGTCAGGCCAATCCAGGGTCTGAATATCAGGGGGCCCCTATTAGGTGACGAAATAGGATTTTGTCTTTTATAGTTTGCGCTAATAATCCTCCATTATAGGTACTTATAATGTAATATGTATATCTTAGGGTCAAGCAAAACGTTTATATTTTTCAATATTGGTCTTGTCTTATTATCAATCTTCACCTTGAATGGTCAACAAAATTGGCTAACCTTTCAAAATTTTACTATATTTTTGTCTGTAAAATTATGAAATTCTGAAATATATTAAACAAAAGCATTATCCATACACATGACCGGTCTTTTGAACGGGCTCGGCATCTAACATAAATGACAAATAAATTAACTTATGATATTTTTCACAGAATTTGTAATAATAAAAATAATAAAATACATTTTTGATCAACAATGCTTTTAAAACCGTGACAAAACGCAGGTTTTTGTTATTTTCAGAGAGTATTGTAGATATATACGTATTGATAAAAAGGTAATGTGAAATTTTTGTAAAATATAAATTTTTTTAGATAAACGTGAAATTTTGATTTCAATTATGAGTGACCGTATGCTATAATATAGAAAATATACAGAAAATAAAATAAAATACTTTCAGTAGGTTTTAAAATATGTATAACAAACATGTTTAGTCATGAAATTTATCGTTTCAAAAATGTTATTTAAGTACATGTTATAATATTATTTTCGAATATTGGTAATATTTTCAAAACGTTCACATAATTGGCACGCTTTGATGAAAAATTATTAACATTTTTTAATTATAAAATTGAATTTCTAAAAATCTTTATGACATATTCAAACACATTGAAAACATGTCTGACGACTATTATTTCAAAAAAAAAATCCGGTTTTGATAAAAGAGATGTTTTAGAATTATTATAATATTTTATTTTATATTAGCTGTAAACTTTATTGTAATTTAATTGTTTTTTAAAAATGTTGTAATTTTATTTACTGACTCGAGTAGATATACAAACTATAATCGTTTGCTTTATACAAAAAAAAATTATCTTGAATGTATCTAATATGCAAAAAACTAGTTTTTTTTTGTTCCACTCCAAGTACCTAATCATTGATTAAATAGGTAAGTACATTCAAGTACAGGGTTTTATTTTTTTTTTACTAGTCTGGTTCAGATTAGCAGCTTTTCTGGTTTATGTAATTTCCAGATCTAAGTGTGTTACAACTCATGTGCGACAGAAAGGTGACATTTAAAGTGAAAGGAAACCGCGTTATAAAATTGCAGCGAAACCACTATAATGTGTGATGTATATGGAATTTAGTATAGGTATAGGTATGTGTGTTGAGCATTGAATATAAAGATGATGAAATTTGAAAAAACGGATGTAGCCGAAACGAATGAAATGAAGATGGATGTGTTCAGTGTGACAGCCCTTGTATATTTTCTTATATTACACGTTTTTCATGTGTAATAATGCCCGCCTTCTGAGACTTATTGCCATCCACATATTTCATATAAAGAAAGCTCAAAAAAAAAAAATGTTCTACAATAATATTATATTATATTTTGTATTCATAAAAATATACGAACTAAGACTTCTTTGTTTTATTTTGAAACAATAAAGCTACAAAAAGTTAACAAAATAAATACATTTTTTACAATGATACATTTAACGAGTAGGTATGCGAAATTCAAATTAAATTTCGTTGTTGGACTAAAAAACATTATCTGGAAAAAACTTTTTTTGGTCATAACACGTTTTATGCATTGTTTCTAAATGATATTATTATTATAGATCCATCATAATATAAAATAACTAGTAGGCACTTTTCATACATAAAATATATATGTATATATACAAATTTTTGATTAATTTTGTTATCTATACAACTATATAAAGAGAAAAAATTAATTAAAAATTATAAGAGAGATTTAATGGTATATTCTCAGTTAATACGGACCGGATTATATTAACTGCATGGTAAATAATAATTATTTTCAAAGAATACTTCCATGAAATGGAAAAAACACATCATTGTAAAATCAATTTTTCCGCAACGCCAGATCGGAATAATTTGTATTTAAACGACAAAAACCAAAAAAATACTTATGTATATTATAATCAAACTCATATACAATATGATGTAAACTTTTTTCGATAGAGTTGGTTCTGATTACAACAAAACAAGCGAGAAAATTAATAGATATATTTTTTTAATTTTAATTATTATTTCAATTTTTATTAAACAGAGACATAAATTGAGTTGTAACTTGTACATAATATGAAAACATGTTAAAATTAATTATAGTTATTGTTTTCAGTTTTGACTTTTTTGGCAAACGTTTTTATTTTTATTATATTTAAAAATATTTATTAAAATAACTCTATATTTGTGTACTTGCCTATTTTCTCCTTTTGACCACCAATCTGTAAATTAAGATACAAAAAAAAAAAGTCATTATAAAATATACTTTTTTTTTTCTTTGTGTTGTACCTCCAAAACAAACATTAATCTGGTTAAATTTTTTGAAAAGCCTTGCTCAAAACAACAATTTCCGTTTTCTTCATCCACTTAGTCTCTGCGCTACGATACAAGTTACAACTACAGAAATTACAAAACCACCAAAGTCCAAAAATTAAAAAATAAATAAATCCTTTAGCGCCATTTTAGGTTAGGGTTGACCCCCCGGGGAAATCACACGCGACTTTTCTAACAAAATTCTACAGCTATAATAATATAGGTTTTGATTTTTTGATATTTTCATACAACATCTCAGATTTGTATTTTTTTTTCTTCTTTTATCTCCTGCCGAGTGCCGGGAGTACTAATATACATTAGTGTTGTTTTAATATTATTATTTTTTAATCACCGCAGGGCACAGCCGAATCGTGCGGTCCACATAGAGTCTAATGGGGGCAATACAAAGATAACGAAAACAATATAACACCTTAGAAATTCCACCGGAGATGTTCGCCTATTGTTTTTACCACGTCGTAGTCGTCTGTTATTTTTTTGTTTAATAAAAAAAAATATATATATATATATATATTATATTCCGCCTTCGGTGTTGTAATATTCTTTCGGTTTTCTGAAGAGGAGGAGGGGACTTAGAACATTATAATAATAATAATACATTATAGCCGGTGTAGTAGGTCTACAATTTCCAAGTTGCACAGACACAGTGTCGCTGTGACGCAGATTGTTAAAATATATATCCATATCCGAAACGTTTTTAACAGCTTTGCCGCTTCAAAAACCAAAACGGTATTAGCTGTTTTACTATATTATAACATGTGGTTTTATAAATATATATATTATGTATATGTATATATTTTTGACCCAACACACGATACACCTTGACCGATTACGGTGGCGCGACCAGAAGATTAAGGAGGTTTTTTACCATTAACCCCTCCAGAATTTCCATTTTGTTTTCGTGTGTATCAGAATAAAACGTTCGTCTTACATATTATTATTATATTCTACCGCTATAATACATCATCTCGAGAGGCATATAATCTTATATGCCACCTATAAACGTCGGTCGTTTAATTTATTATTTTTCTTATATGGAAATCGTACGCTATCGGTTATAACGTTATCAGTTAGTATTATCAGCCGTTATCAATCGTTATCATCGTGTTATCATTTTGTTATCATTTAATTTTTTAACAAATTTTATTACCGCTTCGGACCCCACAACTTGGGGGGAGTGGGGACTGATACAAATTAAATTTTTTCTGTAAAAAATCATTACTGAACATTTTTACATTTACTAAACTTTTTTAAAACATTAAAATTGAACCGCTTTCACAGTTAATGTTGAAAAGTACGTCCTTTCCCTTCAAAATCGAAAAATCGAAAAGAACACACTCAAAATGTATACAACATGGTTTACCTTAAATATCGCAA